CTACTCTTTTCGAGAAACACCCTGGGATTTTTAATGACCACAGAGAGTCAGGACCTCGGTTTTACGTCTCATCCGAAGGACATTTCCCCCACTGTTCTTTAGACTGGTTCCAGAACACTTATATCTATATGTAGCATGGTGAACAAAATTGTACACATATTCATGTTCATATAATACTTAAAATCCATTGGATATCAAAGGCAAATTACCTTGAAATAGAATCCTCACTTAAGTTAACAAGAAAAATCTAATCTGCTGGTTCCCAGTTAAAATTGTCCTGCAGTATCAAAGAGAAACACCAGATGTCACCCCAATACAGAACTTGTAGGATCCCTATTGCTCTGGGTATAAAAGCCTGAAATGGTTATTTTGTGTTGAATTTAAAGGCAATAAATTTGATATTGTTTAAGAAGTAGAAGTGTGAGTTTATCACAGGTAGACATAAATGGGCTTTAGGGCTACTCAGCTGTATAGTCTCACAGTCTTGCAGTTGAAGTTGAAACGTGTTCAGGGATGTATAGACATAACATCAAAGAATACCAAAATGCATTGTGGTTAATTAGTTAAAAGTGGTTGTATTTGATGTAGAAACTGGCGCCTCTGCATGATCCATGGCTTATGTGGTTTTCCATAGCAAAGTGCTGCTGTTTCCATAAAAAAAGGTTTCAGTAACGAAGGCGGTGAATTCAGTAAATCACCAGTTGTTACATGTTAGTGAATGTTTGTAGAACTCTACATCATATTGCTTTGTAGTTTTGATTACTCAGTCCTTGTTTGCCCCGATTTTTGTCTGCAGCCTCAAGATGTTTTGAGTCTTGTGGGTCTGAAAGTCAGAGGGCTATCCGCTGGCCTGGCAGGGCTCCAGACGCCCGCTGCACACAGCAGGAGGGTCATTTCCCCCTGAGCTGAGGTGCCTGGCTCTTGCAGGGGCAGGGCTTCTTTGGAAACTTGCAGCCGGCGCGTAGGCACCACCCAGACAGTTCAGGCCTGGGCGATAGTGGGCCATGCCAAGCGCAGACCACGAGGAGGGCCTGCTGCCTCAGCTCGCATCACGGCAGGAATGGAGAAGGCACTTTTGGTCTATTATTTTTAAATAACAGTAACCTTTTTTTGACTGATTTTAATGCAATTTAAAGACATTGTTAACACGTGAATTTATTTATAGTTATTAGTGTTATTTGTTTTTATGATAGAATAGAAGCTTCTGTGTTGAAGTTCACAAGTAAGCGGAAAAGAACAGTCTTTTGAATGTTAGTTTTTTATATTTGATTTCATTTTCCAACTAACTCTATTCTTCGGAATTAGTAACGCAATTTATTACAGAAGATTCTGGCTTTAGAAATGTTACGTAGGTCTTTGTGTGGACATCCGTATCCATATAGTACATGAACATTTGCATTTTGTTAAACATTATTATTATTAACATTATAAACTGAGTGATGAACATCATTTGTTAACATTATCAGCTTTAGCATGGCTTTACATTGTTTTGTTTGTAATATTTTTGTAATTTAGGTAATATAGTGACTCTAAAATCACAAATATGAAAATGTGTATATATATAATAAGTACTTTTTATATATATGTATATAAAACTTTATAAAATATCAAATTTCCATGTATTTTATCCATTGAATTATTACATTTCAGATCATAAGTACATGCATATGTACTGTGTATATACTGTACAGTTTTCGGATGGGGAAGGACAAATCTCACTGTGGATCAAGTGTTCTTTTCGATTCTGATCCTTTCTACATTGCATAAGCTGTGGTGTCTTAAAAATAGGTGCTGTAGAAGGGTCTTGCGGTAGAATTATTGGTGTTCCTCTGCCTTGTTATACTTTTCTGTTAGTGGTGTGGCAGTTGAAAACTAGAGGAATCTGGTTTTCAGGTGCCACTCTAGTCTGAGTGTCTTGCTCTTGTTTGAAGCAATCTTTCAGTCTGTGCTCTGGGTTTGGCTTGAAAAATATTTTACAGTGTACTATGTGGTCAAATATACTGGTCCCATTTTAGTTCCTGTGTTCACACTTCAGTGTAAAATTCCCACTGGAAGAAAAGCAATTCAAAGTAAGGACAAGTCCAGCTAATCTTAAACCTGTCTGTTGTTGGCTTTATTGCCATCTGTTCGTACAGGGCATTTAATACCTTTACTGTTGGAATCAATGGGGTATAAACTTTTAATGTTCATGGTAAAGATTTTCATTTAATTAAAATAGTCCATTTTTTGCAGAAAATGTGTGCAGTACTCGATTTATGTGAGCAGTGATTCAATAATCACCAAGAAGCCTGCGGATCAGTTAAGTGGTGCAGAAGCAGACAGATGCAAAGGGTCAGCCTGAATTGCTGATTTATGGATTTTAGGAACTACGTACGAATGACTACAGCAAGGCTTTCTTTAACAGTTGGGTTACATGATAATGTTGGTAACCAATTCAAATGTCAAAATCAGTAATTGATAAATAATGTTTTATTAATGTGAAATGATTTCATTGTCAGCCTTCAAATAGAAGCTGGTATGACAGAGTTGTTGATGGGCTTTTTTACAAGTATATAGAGGTTTTCACTCCATGCTTCTGCAACTCCACCTTTGTCAGCTGGTTTAATTCCAATGTCAACTCACTTATGTATGTACTTCAGGGCAAACTACTTTTAAGTTGCTGAGTTGTTTGGTTAAATCAGATTTGTTTGATTTCTGATTTACATTTGTTAATAAGAACTGTTGTGCAGGTTAAAACCAGGTTCTATGTAAATTCCTTTTAGAAAAAGGCAATGTTGAGTCTGTATGCTTATAAAGACAAGATGAACTAACATTTTAACTTTTAACCATCACTGTTACTTGTCTCCTCTGATGAGGAGAGAGTTTCTTAAAATAATGTTTAGCTGTCTGTCAACAGGTTTCCTGGAAACTGTGTCACTGTGTCACTGTGATAAAATATCAAAATAACAAATTCACAAACATGAGAAGCTAAATGAGATACAAGCTCATTGTTAGTCATGCCTTTTCTTTCCAGAAGAGACTAAAAAAACTTTCAGATAACCACTCTTATTTTTATGTTTATCCTGGCATTTGTATCAAGACACCATATTTTTTAAATTGGGCACGATAAGTAACCATACAACGATAAAGGGACTAATAAGAGTGCTAATTTATATTTGAGCCATGAAAAGATTAAGAGCTTTAGTTTTAAATGCGTTTTCTTAATTTTTTTCCAATGTCTGCATTTTTTTAGATTCCCTCTCAGTATTGCCCATAAATACTTAAACGTGCTCCTAATTAAGTGTCAAATTAATCATTGTCCTAGGCAGAAAAAAATCCCCCCAGTGGCCTTAACCCAAAATTTTGAAATTATGTTTGACTGCATCAAATCAATATGGACTGTGATTCAAACCTTTTCTCCCCTGAGAGGCAAGGCTACTTTCTTAACCTTCATAGAATTGCTTCTTGTATTTCCTATAATTGCAGTTAGAATGAGTTAGAGTGTCTGGCTCAAAATCTGGTCTATTATTAGTATAGTACCAAGGGAGTTCCTGGTTGCAGTAGCCTTTCTGTTGAACTCTAAGCAATACGAATTTTTGTGCTGTTTTGTAAGTTTGTAGAATAGTGTTAAGGGCTTGGGGGAGATGCAGAGTACTTGATTGATTACTTCAGAATGAAGTACTTATTCATCATGAAATTTCAGGGCAATCTCAATACTGGGTCATGAATTTACAGGGGTCTGTGTGAGCAATCTTTTCAGATCTAAAGACCTAAAATGTCACAAAATGTCTAAAGAGGAGGGTATGTTTGTCTTATGAACATATCACGATGCCTTATTTAGCAAGTGCTAAAATGTGTGCACACTACTTGAAAGGTTATCAGTAAAGAGCATATGATACATGTTTATTTTCAAAGGGCAGTCTCTGCTATATTCTCATTTGGAGTAATATAATAATGAAGTACTGTTCAAGTACTGTTTGTCCTAGCCTTTTTTCATATTGAAAATAGACTGAAACTCGGTGCCCTCAATGAGCATCCTCTTTGACATGAAGCTTAAAATAGAAATAACGTTGTTTGGATGTGGGTGCTGCAAGAAATCATGCTAAAGACACAAAGGCCATTGGGTGGAACAGTCTACCAGACCCTGTTGTTTGCAGACTCCCTGGGCAAACCTGAGCGCACAAAAGCACGGCGGCCTTTGGCACCCTGTGGCCTTCTGCATGTCCTCCGATGAGGAGTGAGCCAGTACTTGGTGATACCTGGTGAGCAAGGCATACCAGGGGGGACTGGGGGCTGAAACCATACCTCCTGCATACTCTACCCATTCTTGAGTATTTGCAGCAGGGAAATGAATGTATAAAATTCATGCAGAGTTGAAATCGACATCACGTTTAGCCCAGAATAGGAAACATTTATCCCTGGAATTTAAAAACATTAAAAATATTTTTTTTTAATAAAAAATGAAAAAGCTGATCATCTTGTTTAGTTATTTTTCTGCTTAAACTACTTCTACCATTTTGATCTTCATCTGTTGATTGTGGTCTGCGTTCCATTACTTAGAAATTATGCTCTTCATAGACTTTCTCTTATAGTAAACCGTATATAGTGGAAATAAATGTACATAAGTGACCATTCATTCCTCTGGATCTTGCTAATTACTCAAACTATTCCCTGCTGACTTGTTCTATATTTTCAGTTTTGTGCCAGTTATTTCTGACTGAGGAAAAATATTTGCAGTATTTAGTTATATACAGTGTAAACGTTAGAAACTGTTCTAATTACTGTACATTTTAAATGGACATTAAACTCTTGCCTAAGTTTAGAGGTGTTATGCAATTTTTCCTTCTTATAGGGTTATCTGTAAAAATTCCACATGACCCCACAGGTTTATATAAACGAAGAGAAAAACATGTTAGAGTGTTATTGTTATAGTGACATTAAAACATTTAACTTAATGTTGTTAAATTAAATGGGCCATATAAAGATATTTTGTTTAATATGTATTGTGCTTAGTTTTGTCATACTTTAATAATAATAACCTACAATAATCTTTAATAACTAAAAGTCCAAAACACAGTGCTAGCATTTGTGCACCATGTGCATAGCTTGAAGTATAAAATAATAAATAACTGTTCTGTTTCAAATACAACCCTGAAACATCTTTTATTAAACAGGAATGCCTTGTAAGAATGTCTGTTTTCTTTTATCAGGACTGTTGACAGTCTGCATGCACAGTCCATTTAAGAAATTGTTTTGGGGGGTGATTGCTTTTGAGTGATAAAGATGAATTTTGGGAAACTGGCATGCAGCACAGTCCTCTAGATTTCTCCTGAAAAGTAAAAGCTTGGATTGAACATCCGGTGCCAAACACGCCTTGCATTAGAAATAGCAGTAACATCTGCTCCTTGCAAAGTCATCGTTTATTTTATTTATTCAGAGGAGGAAGTCGCTCTGAGATTTATCCTATTTGCATAGCACCCTGCTGAGAGCTGTGCTGCAGTGGCTAGTCACAACAATCCTGTTACTTCCATGAAAAAATGCCAATTTAAAATTCAACAGTCTGAAAATTAAACATTTATCATAGTAGACGGCTGTATGCAGTAAGTAGTTAGGATATTAAAATATTTGAATGGAGTGTAGTATAATAGGTAAATGTAGTTCAGGTGGGTATCTGCGTCGGCTTGCGTAGGCTGCAAAGGAACAAGAAAAAGGTTTATTCCATGCTGAAAACAGAAGAAAGGAAACACAACGTTTTGTCTGTGGAGCCTTCACACACCTGAAGAAGGCTCCACAGCCAAAATGTTGTGTTTCCTTTCTTCTGTTTTCAGCATGGAATAAACCTATTACTTGTTCCATAATAGGTAAATGCTTGTTATTCACCTTTTGGCTGCCTTGGCCATATTAAAGTAGAGCCCAATGGATAGGCACACTCTAAAAACAAGATGGTGCTTGATGACGCAGCTCATTATTACTTTTCTATACCTGTGTTGTGTCACAGTTGATATACTGTGTATATATAGTCCAGTATTATTTCTTCTCCTTAAGGATTAAGGTATTTTCCCTTGCACACATGTAATTATATTGGTCGTTTACTTTAATGTTCTCTCACCAGTTCATAGCTAGAGGGCGATTTACATCGGGCGTGCTGTAAGCTGGTACAGTATGTTCCAGTACCTTGTGAAATATATGTTGGTATAAGAACTGGATAATCAAGTTTGGAAAATTGGCATCATGTTAGTTGTAGTTACACTGGTGGTATTTGTGCTCATTACATGCTTTTCCATCTTCACATTGTCTAAATCTTGAAATATCAGCTGTGTGGGGCAAGACGAGGAAAATGAAAAATCACTTTTAAAAGGGTATTGTGCCAGTTTATGTTGGTTAATGCCAGGGTGGGTTCTGTAAGAGTTTGACTGGCTTTTGGTACTGCATTGTTTTTCTTCAGTTGTCTTTACCCAAATCTTTATCCAGAGAAGCCTTGAATCTTAATACAATTTTGTATTCTTGTTTTTGTCTTAGACAGTTGCTGTGTTCACTGAGCTGATCAGAGAAAACTTTAGAAACAGCAAGCTGAAGCAGTGTTTACTTCCTTCACTGGGGGAACTCCTCTGCCTTATTATAAACCAGGTAAGATATTCAAAGGTCAGTCTTTGCCTTTCCAATTTGAAACTGCCGGTTTTGAAATTTGCTTATCTGCGTTACAGATCTGCCAATCTATGAACTGTTTCTAGCTCTGCTTTTTTTCATGCAACCTTAAAATCTCAGCCAGTTAAATTTACACAAGTACTCTTTTGTGCTGGGGGTAGAAAAAATAGAAATATTTTCTGAACAAGAAACATACCTGTACATTCTGCCTACCACCCACTAAACTACTAACAGCACTCTTAATTGCTTCTGACCAATTAGCAAACCATGGTTCTTGAGCAATAAAAAGCACATTAACAATGACACCAAGCAGTGCATTAGTAAGAACCTATGTGCAGAAAAGGCTCAAGGCTACTGGAAAAGCAGGATTTGCTGTTGCAAGGAAAGTGGATGAATCACAGCACTGCACACTGAGTGGCATCCTTCAGATGAGCAGATTGATTTCCTATATTTGTGAAACCTTGGCTAAACATAACCTTTAAACTTTAAAACCTAACTTCTCATTATAGTCCCTCAGTGTTATTACTCTTTTACTTTAAGATTCATGCATCTGACACTCTTTTTTTCTTGTGATAGTTTGTTTGGTAGCGTTTTATCAAATAACTTTCACTTAACCGCTGTGTATGTTAATGAATCGCTGTGAGATGCAGTGGGCCACAAACAACGTGTATTGATTTTACTGCCTTTGTCAGGGAACAACTGAAATCCTCTGTTCATGAAAAAGTTTAATATGCACAGAAAATTAAAAAAGGTGGAAGAGTACACTGGGTGATGAGTGCAATGAACAGATGAAACAAAGTTGTAAAATTTTCAGCTCAAGGAAAACCAGCGAGTACAAAAAGCGAGGCAGAAGTTGTCAAAATTCTTCATAGTACCTGCGGTAAAAACTAACGTGGTCACGATGATATGGGAATCTTTTACCCTCCCTTTAAATGATATGCACAGGTATTGTAAATAAAACAGAGACATGTATAGTAAAGTATATCATTCCATTCTTCACTGTCACGCAGTACCAACAGTAAGGTACCTTGTGGGGAATCAGCCCTGGTAAATCTAAATAATGAAAAAATCCTTTTGAGTTCCGAATTTTATCTGCTGGTCTTTCCAGTCTCTTGAGCTTAACCCCATTGAAAGCTGAATTAGGAGCTTGGACGAAGAGTGAAAAAGAAGACTAAGCCACTGTATTGTGCTATGATAGATAATATAAGGTAGTGAAATAAATTTACATGTGTGATAGAATGCCTAGAATATTATTTTCTTTGTTTGATAATGAATAGGATTTTTTCTGAGAAATGTTTTAGTTAACTACAGCAAACCACATCTTCATTTGTATTTCATTTTGAGAAGGTTAATAAAAAATAATAGTAAGAAATGCACTCAGAAATATGTGTATCTTGTGGTTTAATTTCAATGTAATACTGAGATTTCACATGCCCTGAGAATCAAAACATTTATGCATTCTTTTTACTTAACATATACATCTTTTTATACATTATATAACTGTATAATAACTGTTGAATGTGTGGCATATTTTAGATACAAGATCAAAGGCATTCATGACTGTTGTATGTTGGGACACTACATAAATTTCAAGCTCAGTAAATATTTCTCTACAGTAGAGGTTCACTCTCTGAACTCGGAGTGATGAGCTTTTTGCCTGAAAGATGGGTATCAGATCATTAGGAAGGTAACAAATTACAAGAGGCCAACTGGTCCGTCGAGCTTCTCTGCTGCTCTTTCTCACACTTACACTAACATAGTCAGGGGACTCTCCCAGGCAAAGAATGAAATGTCCTTGAGTACATTTGACCAGAATGAGTTCTCCACAGTGCCACGATGAACCCTAACTTGGAGTGCCTGCTGTAAACCCTCACAAACATGGGGGACATGTGACAAATCCACATACACGCCCCCAGCCTGGAACTGAACCCAGAAACCAGGTCCAGCACAGGCCCCCGCCGTGGGTAAATGAGACAAGCTGGAACAGAGGAAGAAATGTTACCATGGAGTTTATAATAATAATTTCATTGTAGTGCTACCGCAGAAAACGAACTGTGAAGGATGTTATCCATAACCGTAATGGAAAATATCTGGACAAGCTAAGGGAAGTGGCTGATGTCGGAAATGAGACACATTTCACTCAGGTGTTCCCTGTTCTGTTACTTGTAAGGTTATGGAAACAATAATTGGAACTAAACTGCAGGATCACGTATAGGAAAGGAATTCCTGGCAATAGTCCACACAAATTTAGAAAAGGGAGGTCTTGCTAAACTGTCATATGGGAGTTCTTTGAACAAGCAACAACAATAATGGACACACAGAGCAAAGGATATGGTGTATTTAGATTTTCACCAAGCTTTGGTTAGTTCCTCATAATGATAATTCCTTATACTTATATAGCACTTTTCTGGACACTCCACTCAAAGCGCTTTACAAGTAATAGGGACTCCCCCCCACCACCACCTGTCCACTCCCCATACAACACACCAGCTCTCGGTGTGGAGGAGAGCAGAGTGATGAAGCCAGTTCATAGGCAAGGATTATTAGGAGGCCGTGATTAGTAAAGGCCAGGGGGAAATTTGGCCAGCACACTGGGGTAACACCCCTACTCTTTTGAGAAAAGCCGTTGGATTTTTAATGACAACGAGAGAGTCAAGACCTCAGTTTTATGTCTCAACCGAAAGACAGCAACTTTTTTTTTACAGTTATGGTGTCCCCATCATTGTGCTTGGGCATTAGGACCCACACAAACAAAAGGGTTTGTAAAAATGATTGTAAAAACATCTTGAAAGATCCGTTCTCATATTACAAGAGGTAGTGTTTTTCTGTGATTTTTATTTGATTTCTTTGTTTAAAATAATATTTACTTAAGTCACAATTAGAATTGCATTCATTTCGTGTATCTATGTCAAAAGAGCATGATTTATAGATAGATACTTTATTGATCCCGTGAAGGAAATTGCAGAAATTATTGATCTTATTTGTGTGACTATGCTGCATTAGGTTCATTGCTAGGAGGTAGATTTTGAATAGGAATGTATTTTAAGAACTTATGCAGGTCTGTGATTTGAAGACGAAGACGATTTGAATAAGCGATCGAGGTAAAATGCAGACAATACACTCTTCCTTTCTTGTTGCGGGAAACTGGTCAGTGTTCTAAAATCTCAGTATGAAGGAGAACTCACCATTACAAGAATTGGGAGGTCACCTGGGGTTGATTGCTTTTTCAGTTGTCTTTAAAGAAATGAAGGGTGGTATTTATAGATCATTAGCTACAATCTGTTAGCAGTAAATCAGAAATTGATTTGTCCCCAGTGATATGAAAATGGAGAATTTGAAATGTCAAAACACTCCACAAGAAGAGGGATGAAACTGCAGTTCTGTTTTATCTCTATGACCTAGAAGAGTATAGAAATGTTAAACTGTTAAATATTTGTATGGTATTATGATTTTGTCACACAAATTCAGAAAACATTAGAAAAGGATGATTTTGAGCAAGCCACAACAGTAGTGTATGTAAGTAGAGCTTGTTGTAGGGCATATTAACTGTATATCTCCAGAAGGCATTTGAGAAAGTTAGTTCCAGATAAAAGGTTAATATATAGGCTGCAAGCTGTAAGAATCAAAGCCAAAATAAGCATGTGCAAGTGGGCTGAGTACTGATGAATGTGCAGAAACCAGAAAGCGCTGGTATGAGGACAAATCTCTGCCTGGAATCATGTCATAAATGAATTTTCACAGAGATTGGTGTAAACAGAGTGGTCTTGACTCTGTTATAGTTGAGAATACTTGAAGGCTTTTAAGTACAGAACTAGTGGGTATAAGCATTGTAATGTAACAGAAGACATGCATTGTGCAAGACTGGGCAGACAATTAAGAAAATGTAGTTAAGTATCATTTAAAATTCAATATGCAAAACAATACATGATAACAGCCCAAATATCCATTTGAAATATTGGTTGGGATGCACCAAAGAGTTTATGTGGACTTATCATTTTTATTCTCTGACCAATGTGGTGAATCTACAAGTGCAAAAACACACTGTGGAACATAATATAAAGTGGAGGATTCAAATCAAGAGAAGAAAAAAATGCTAAGGTTATTTCACTGTATTAGTTAGGCTAATAAATTGTATACAATGAAATAAAGACCTCAGGGCACAATTAACTGGAAGTTCATGTGGGATTAAAACCAAGAGACACATCTTTACACAATAGCAGTTTTCTAGTGTTAAGAAAAGTGTGGATGCAATCCTTTGTTTTCTTCATCTAGTCACTGGTTACTTATCAGTCTGTTCTCATTTGTAACCTTTCTTGTATTAATTTGTTAATTTTGAAGTTTAAGTTTGGTGCACATGTGTGCCTTGTTCAATGAGCAATTTGTATCTGTCAAAAGTAGAGAGCACCTAATTTAGTGATTAATCAGTAAGCCCACTTACCCATCTCTAGGTATGCCGAGGAACTTTATGCTAAATGAACAATTTACACATCTACAGATGTTCTGAAACAAACTGTCAGAGCACTCAGGACATTCCATTGAGCATACACGCCATACTGAACACTTGGATTTTTTGTGATTTTTTTCCAAATTCTTTGGATGCATCATTTCTTGAAGTAAGATTAAAGGCCTATGAAAATATTGGTTGCCATCCCATAAGGATCCTTTATTCGTAAACAGTACCAGAGCTTGTCTGTTTCAAAGGACTGATATGGTTTGTGTGTAGTTGGAATGTTCCAATATCATGTTCTGGATGATTCATTAATTTTCAGATAATTAGTGAGAGATATTATTAAAAAAGGAAAAAATACAAAATGACATTACGAGCTTTATAAGAGAATGTCCTACATGTCATTAAAAAGATTGATTTTTATTGAAAATTCAATTAATAAAATAATGATCACACAAAATCTTGATTTAGAAGTTGTCCACTTAAGTATTTTGTGCAATTAAAATTTTTCCAGAATTGACTAACATGATCCTTCATGTACTGTATCTTCGACCAACCAGGAACTGATTTGCCCTCCAGTGAAGATGCAAGCTTTGTGTTTTATAGTACTTTTAAATAAAAAAAAACGCATTGTAAAAAAATATGCTCTTGTTTTTTTTAATTATACTTGTGTTTGTAACCCTAATTGCTCTGCGTGTAGTGTGACTAGGGTGTGTGACTACTGTGTTAGGCTTACAGCTGTTCCTTCTGCCTCTCGTCAGGAGGAGAAGAAAGAGCACTCCAGAGACTGCTGGGCCATTCCTTCAGCCGCCTACACTGTGCTAATGAGGTGCCTTCGGGAAGGGGTAAGACTGCTTTATTGTCCTCAGTGGGGATTCTCTACGGTAATGATGCTTCTGAACATCCTACAGGCATTGTTGGAGAACTGTAGCCAAGGGCGAACCAGTGTCTTATCAGCCTCGTAATATACCTAAATTTAAATAATTTTAATATGATTGTGACCTGAGTTACAATTAAGCAAAAGGGACAAAGACATTTTAGATTTTATTATTAATTATTCCTGTATTTGTCTCAGGCTTTTATCCAACTCAGATCACGACTAACTTAAATCTGTTCATCTCTGATCACTTTTTAGTGGGCTTGGTTATTTCGATGTAAGAAACAATTTTTTTAATTGTTTGCTTGGAAAATTAAATCTGCAACCTGCATTGTTCAACTTGAAATTGTACAAATGTATATGAAAGTATCATTTAAGGTGATAAAGTCTCTTTTTCTGTTATATTATCTTAGGATTTTTTTTTGCTTGATTGTGGACCTTTAGTATAGGAGATTTCCATTTTCCACAAATACAGTTTATAAATATGCTGTCCAGAGTTCAGACTTGAATCACTGTCACAGAAAACTCTTGCTTCGGGCTCAGCTGTGACTGGACCTGGACTAAAATAAAAAAAAAAACCTCCTACGAATGTGTGAAGCGAAGGACTTCATCTAACCCAAAATACTGCTTTGATTCAAATTATACCCTAAAAAAACCCGTAATTTACCAAATAAATTAGATATTTAAAATCCTACCTGGATTTGAGTCAAATATGGTAATATACTCAAAAAATATTGAAGTAATCCAGACATCTGAACATGAAGTATTTCTATCATTTTTTGCATGAAGTAAAAATTGGTATTTAATAGAATGATCTTCGTATATGCAAAAATAAATCTTTATTTTAATTATTTCTCAGGAATAAAAGACAGAACTGTCCATCAGGAACATTATTCCCCCCATTATTACCATTATGAGCATTTTTAAAAAACAAAAAACTAGAAGAAATTGTGGTAAAATAATCTTCTGTTGAGAAAAGGATAGAACATTGCCAGTGGTATACAGAAATCGAATTAGTAAAATCATTAATGTTTGTCTTTCCGTCTTTTTCCAATTACTTCATTGCACAAAGTATAATGTATTAAAGTATTTTTCATAAGTTTTGATTTGAGGTGGTTTGAAAGATTCACATTTGGACTTTGGACATCCAGTGATTCCAAGTCTGATTTGTGTCTTATTTGAGATGCTGCATTTAGCAGACTGCTTTGGTTGGATGATAATATGCTTATTATACACAGTTGTGCATTCTTCAGATTTATGAATGACCAAGGCTTTACAAAAAGACTCATTTGATGTGAGATGTATACCCCTTTTATTAAGTGCGGTGTTAGCTAAAGTCTAGAATTTAACTAATAGAGTTACTGAGTTGTTTAGTTTGATGAAAAAAATCTTCCTAATTACTACTTTCCTTATAATGCAGTAAACAAACATTTAAAATCTAAAACATTTGAATTGCACATAAAAATTGTATTGGATTCACAATTACTGTAGAGAGGGTACTTGTTTGCCTAAACTGTCAGTTTTTTTTATTTTGTATTGAATATGACAGTTTTTTCAAACTCTGGAATTGTCCCCTTGATTACACTCCAGCAGAGCCTGTAGCAAAGAAGCCTGTTAGCTTACTAAGCATAAATGTCCCTCACCCTTCAAACAGTTTCTTCAGACATGCATTTAATGATTAAGAACACGTAATACTGGCAAAAAATGGTGATGTCTGAGCAGCAGAACTTTGTGTACAAAAATTTTACATTGAACATTATGCAAATTAAACTGGTACTGTAGACTCAGCCATCTGGCAGGAATCCAGTGCACAGCAAGTCAAACCTACAGAGCCTGAAGCGATATGGGACATCAAGATGACAGAAATAAATTCAAGGATAAGGTACTGCAAGAACTGGGCAAAGGCCAATTCACACTACAGCGTTTATTTGTTATGTATTTGAATGCCCTAAATATTGAATGCTTGTTTAAGTGCTAAAGAAGAAAAATGAAAAAAGGTTTGAGATTTGGGAGTAATATTGCCATAGTCATGTTCCTGTCAGAGCAAATTATAAATTTCCAAAAATATAGGTTTTGAAAGTTAAGTCAACAGATAGAGTAGTATTCTATAAGTTACCAATGGGTGTATTGTAATAGGAACCTTTCATTACAATCTGACACTGTTGGGGAGACAAAGCACTTTAAGAAGTACTTCATCACATTTAACAAAGTCACACAGTATAATAGATTACTTTTTGCAAGTTGATAAAACACCGGTAGATGTTGCTTTTAAGAGATAAAATTTCTGATTACTTTAAATTGTAACTATACATGTACTACTAAACTAACATTGTTAAAAATATCCACCAATTTGTTTTTAAAAAGTAATCAGTTCCCCAAGGAGTGTAACTGAAGTAGATTACCTTTTAAAGAAGTAATTTCACCTAACACTGGAACCAGAACACTAAATTATATTGTGGAGGGGTGTTTCAAACAATCAAGTCATTGCTAGTTAAACAGGATTGAATCCAGCTACGTATATAAATGAGTGATCTGTGCAGTTTAGATTTTGCTGTACACTTTCGTGTTTTAATGAAAGTGTATGTTGACTATTTTGACTGTACTGAGGAAGCAAATGTTGCACAATAGTAAACAAAAACACTGGCACAAGATAAATAAAAATTAAACTGGATATGGAATATATCAAAAGGAAAAGCAGGAGAGACAAACCATTCTCTTTGACTAATATCTTAGGCAATTGCTGTATTTGTTTTTGAATAGTCTCTTATTATAGGAGGTTTAAAAGCAGCGATGTGATGTGTTTGCCAGGTGTTTTTCATGAGGTTTCTGTGTGGCTGAGATGCTTCCTCTTGCTTGATTCCATTGACTCTGGCATTGGTTTCCCAGCAGTCTAGTAGCTGAGCTGGTGGTCAATCAGGCCACAAATCTATGGCCTGTCTTCCTTTCCCATTGATGAGGCAGCCTCTCACAGTGGAGACTCCAGGTGTCTTATCTACAGCCGGTCTGTGAACATCACATAGCGAGACCACATTTGTAGCAACAGTGAGCTTCTGCTTGACTCGTGATCTTGACAGGTCATGTGTGTAATGAATACAGCACTGGCTTACAAATTCTAAATAAAACGAAGCCATGTGTTTGTTTAGCTTTGTGTAAAGTGATCATTTGATATAAAAAAAACCTGGGTAAAATGATGAAAGGAAACTTTGCTTCTTAAATGTTTAATATTGAAATTAAGAAAAATGAACTTTTTGGGTAGTGTATATATTTTTGAACATTTTCTTAAGTATTTTATAATTGCATAACTTGATGTTTAAATTACAAGTTGATCGATGTTCTGTGGGACAGTAGCCTTGCACAATGGTTTTAATCATTCATTTATTTTGGCAATGACACCATGTAAATAGCACCATGTACACAGTCATTTTAAACTGGTAAATAAACTAGAATGACTATGCCAGGGGAGATCCTTCAATCTATGTGTGACATAGATAAGTATATGGTTTAAATTTAATCTGGGAAACACTGATGACTGTGTTCTTTTTCTTTGGCCGGAGGTTGTCAAGTACGTACTCCAGTGCATACCAGTTTGAGTGATACATTTTAAGAATGTTTCTAAAATAGACTTTATACACTTTTTCCAACATGGGGCTATGGGACAAGCTTGAATGCCTAAGTAAAACAAATGTGAAGTAAGCTTTTCCTTTTTTATTTTTTTAAACATTTTACTACCCCATTGATAACAAAGACATAGTGTATGAATTGAGATATTCAAGAACAAATCTTAAAAATATATCATCTTAATAACTGATGTAGAATTGCATGGTTTTTGAAGAACAGGTCATATATTAGTCTTATCTACAATAGAAAAGTGTTTCATGTTTCTACATATATATCCAATACACATACACTGTACTCCAGAACTGCATTTCATGAAATCCATCTTTATGTTCACTCTATAAACAATTTCAAGATTATGTTGCTGAACTGGTTGTCATTCACAGCTGGCAATTAAAAGTGGCTGTTGCTCCTAATTTGAAGCTTTGTTTTGAACATTTTTGTTGTTGAACTGAAGAGGACTGCATGTGCCTTCTCTTCCACATAAATTCCTATAAAATAGTTTTTTGCAACAAGAATAGTGTCTGCAATTAACTGCAGCATTCCCTATTGCCTGTGTGTTACATGTCCTTGGAGATGAAGTTCTGCTGATTAATGTTTTTGAATACAGAGCTGCCTCATTATAGCAGTGTACGGAAACTATGTTTAATAGGATTTCTGGAGTATAAGTTTTCTGTAATGAGAATACAGATAGTGAAGTAAAAGGGCTTTATGAGCAAAATGGAAGCCATGCAACACTACCTAATAACTACCTCTGTGCTCTGAAGGGCTGTGCTATAATGAGAGAGCACGTTACTATTTTGATACACATTGTGCCTTTCATGAACAAACAGTAATATTTCAGGCTATGAATGCTCACAATGCTGGTGGTGGTATTTAAGTTGTGATTTTACCACAGTAGGAATTTTGCGTTTGTAATGTGTAACATAGACATACTGTATGAATTGAGGATATATGCAAAAACAAATCTTCTTAAAAATATACTCTTGATAACTAATGTAGGATTGCTTGTTTTTGAAGATCAGGTCATATATTTGGTTTATCTAGAATATAAAAGAAGTGTTTCATGTTTCTACTTATATACAATATCTTGTAAGTACACATACTCCAGAACTGTATTCATGAAATCCAGTGCTGAATGAAATGTACAATTTTGTCCCAGTTCTGCTAGGTAGTGTTCACCCTGGGAATAAAAATAACCCTTAGAGTCTTTCCCATATGGCTGGAAAAATGTTGTGATTCCCAAGTGCTTGGGCATTATTTTAAATCAGATGACTATATTTCAGAAGTCATTGGGACCATGTCCACTGCACTTTCTTTGTCTTATATACTGTGCCATACCAAAATAGCCAGGGCATACCTTTAATGAGGTATCGTGAGTTAAAAATCACAAAAATGTAAAATCGGATGGAAATACTGGCACTGGGAAAAGCTTTGACCAATTAGCAAGCATCTGCTTTGCAACAAATGTGTTCACCTAACCTCAGAGAACACTAAAATAACTCAGAGGCAAGTTGATTTGTTGAACTCTGAAAGCGTATTAATCCCGCTTGCTGAATCTGTTGGCTCAACACTTCACAGTCTGCTTCATCTTCCTTTTTTCAAACCTTCAGACCATTACAGGATGTAAAAAGCACTTTACATTCTGTTTAATGTAAATTTTATTCATCGTGTCATGTCAACAGTTTATTGGTATATGCTGTATAAAGCCATTGTTTGACAGCATTTGGTAAGACTGTACTGTTAAACTTTATGACTAATACATAAAAAATAGTTCTTGATTTCCTAATTAAATTATAATCCATTAATACAGATTATTTTATTTTTAATGAAGTACCACCCTTAAAGTCCTTTAAAATGTGATGCTTTTGTTTTGCTGGCTTGTAGAGGCATTGATTTAACCTCTTGCAGGCTTTGTTTCTGCCTGCAAACATGACTTGGTTTTCAGTGTTTTATCACAGAAAACCATACAGGGCTGTTTAAGGTTTTCTGTAGCAGATTTAAGTAGGCAACTTTATTAACTCGAATCAACAGATCAAGTCCCTCTATAAAACAACATATTGTAAGACTTTTAATGGCCGTGTCCTTCTTGCAGAACATAAAATACAGTACCTAATCGAGTGCTCATTTGATACATGACTGGCACAGCTCCCTGGTGCTTGAATTTAGATACGCCAACTTCTTTCATTTCGGCACACATCTGTAATAACGGTTTATCCCAGACATTAATAAGGTTTTAAACATGAAAAGTAAATTTTGCATGCAGAAAGCATCTGTGTTCTTTTATAATCCTTATGCATCATATTACTGTATATAATGTTTTTTTTTATTGTGATGCTTTTTGCAGTGATATAGTCATCTATATCCACAAGCCTGATACTGTATGGCGTGCTTGTGGAGAATGTCAGTCAACTACTTTTCTCAATAAATATTGACACAAATAGGCAAGTGATGATGAGTAAATGCTCATAAAGCATAAGAGATATTTCTTACACACTTCAGAAATGTCATAGTCCCATGTGTAAAGAGCATGACTGGACTAACGTTCAAAATTAGTACGAATCATTTGGTAAAAAAAAATTACAGACTTAGTCTTGGTATTTAGAGTTTTAGTCATTTCAGACTATAAAATGAATGGTGCCAAGAGCAAACAATATGTGTCTTAATGTGTCAGTCAAACAAAAGTATTAGATATTTAAAAACAACTCAGTTTGTACCAATATTTACAAGATCCTATATGTGTTTTTCAGTATGAAGGTTTGTGTTTAAAATGCATTTTGAAATTGTTTCACCAAGAATAGCCTATTTTTCTTATATTACACTTTTCTTTTCCATTGTTTCCAGAAGCAAAAACCCAAAGGTCCACATAGATTGTAGCAGCCTGTATAACAAACATTAAGTGTGTGATTATGTTTTACTTGGTGTACTTCCTTAAATGAAGCAGATAGTTAGCATTTTTTCTCTCAGAGATTTAAAGAGCAGACCTTCCGCAGCAAAGAGAATATTTTAATTCTACAAAAGTCAAATAAAGAGTTTTCAGGTTAAAATGTCAGTAAATCAAAATATTCTTAAAGCATCTTACTGTATATATACACATACATTAGTTTTAACAAATTAAAAATGTTTTATTTTAAATATATACATATTTGTTTAAAACTATTTTTTTCGCTTATTGCGAAGTGAAAGGTTAAGGCGATGTTTATCAGGCTTATGGAATCCCAGTCATGGTCAGGATGCCTCATCGGACAGCTGGTGAACATAAGTGTGCAACTACAGTATGTATGCCTGCTGTATAACTGGTAGTAAACTGCAAGACTGAAGTGTGTGTTAGAGGGCTCTGGGGTTGATTGTCATAGAAGTTGCTTGAGAGGTTGATGAGGCAAAACTCTGTTGTTGGAAAAACTGTTCAACCTGTCTGGTAAGAGCAGAGTTTATAGTGTACTAGTTGTTTTTACATATTCTATTTACAGTACAGCTATATATATAATGAGCCTTTAAAATATATTAAAAGGTTACCTTGCATTCTGTCAAACAGCACCAAGTTACTTTTTCAATTTAATATTGTTTTTTGTACAATAACTACGTGCAAAGTCCTGGTTTTGCTTTTCGGTTTTATAGAGGGTCTTGTGTAATTGAACACATGGTCTTTGCCATCCCAAGGCCTTGCTTCTGTGTGGTTGGGTTTTCAACAAACGACACATGGATGAAAGCTCTCACCGTCCTGTTCTAACTTTCTGTTTCTGCATGATGCTTGGTTACAGGAGGAGCCAGTTGTCAATCACATGGCAGCAAAAATTGTGGAAAATGTGTGCACCACAGTCTCCTGCCACTCACAAGGCCTCATCACTGGAGAGATAGGGCCCATGCTCTGGTACCTCTTCACACACTCCACTGTGGATTCCTTGAGAGTCACTGCCATTTCGGTAAAACCCTTAAATTCATTCCCTTCTGTCCAAAAGTGCTCTTACAAAAAATTACAATGTGAAAAAAGGAAGTATGCAGATAACAAACACTGTGTATAGTCTTATTTTCCTTTGCTTAAATTTGAGGATATTATTTAGAATTTTAGGATAATATTTTCAAGTGAGATAATGTAGTCATTTCTTCTTTTGTTGCTCTAGTTTCAATTTATTAAAGATTTGCTGCAAATATAGTGAATGTGCATATTTTTTAATGCAAACATCAACTTTGGGGGAAAAACACTATTGAGTTGTTTCAATTGCAGTTAAATTGCAAAGTTGTTTCTTGTCCTCCTTTTTGTTTTTTTAATGCTGCGTTAACCTTTGCAAGACTCTATCTTTTAGTCGATATTATATAATGGCTTGTAATGTCATAAAAGCGGTTGATCTGTTTCATTATGTCTTCATAGGCTTTGTGCCGGATAACGCGTCACTCTGCCAGCGCTTTTCAAAGCGTTATTGACAAAGTGGGCCTGCCAGCTGTATTGAGCACCCTGGTGTCTGGAATCAGCCGTGTTCAGCAGTATATGCTCACCATGTTCACCGCAATGCTGTCGTCTGGGGTCCACTTGCAGAGATTGGTTCAGGAGAAGGTATACACCAAAGGAAGCTGGAAATTGAATTGTCATTATCTGCTGAATGATATGGATTTCACATTAATGAAAGGGAAATGGATTCTTCCCTGATCTAACTTTTGCAGTAAATTCCCATCATTCGTGTCTGAACCTTGCACGGTAACACATTTTCTGACAGTTAATTGGCCATTAGCAATGATGCAGGATTTTTCCAGCAGAAGTTAAACACCTATTCTGGCATTTCACAATCCATCTTAAGCAAGGATCGACTCCGGATTATAAATCTTTTCTTGTCGGCCAGTGTGAAAGCGTGCCAGTAGGAAGATATAGAAAATCTATTGAATTATGTGGGTACAGCTTAAGAGTTTGTTGTTTTTCTTTCTCTGGAGATTACAAATGGAACAGTTCATAACCTTTATCATCTCTTTCTTTAGCTCTTCTGGGTATTTGTAACACTGTAGAACCTGTAGTTAGACGGAGACATTAAAATAAAAATTGATTTATTTATTAGAAATACATATATTGGATGCAAAAGAACATTGTAAAGTGTCTCACCGTGTTTAATATTCAGGCTTTATAGGTACTTGAAAAATACTTAAAAATGTATTTTTTGCAAAAGAATTTTATGAGCTTTATTTACTGTGTACAATAATGAAGAGTTTTTTAAAATGGTATCCTGAAAATGTGTGTACACTGTAAATCAAGATTGAGTATCAGACCTGCTAAGTTGTTTCATGAGGCACTGTACTGATGTTTTTATGTCCAGTACATGAGTTTACTGTATGCTGTATGTTGTCAAGACATTGATGAACTAATAAGGTGTCATGTTGTTTTTGACACAGTGGTTCTGCACATTGACAATACCAGTTATGGGTTCTCTTGCTCAGCCAACCTGAAATCCAGATGAGAAAGAATCAGTATAATCTATTAACTTCCTTTACAAAAATCATAGATGCAGTACAGTATATATATTGCCATTCTCCATAAAACCTACTCTCTGCCTTGTTAGGACTATGTTATATTTTAGGAATTGAGGTGGAGAAGACTGGATTGGACAGAGAACTACTTTTTCCACTACTATGACAGCAATATTTAAACCATTTTGAACAAAGCCAGGAAAGCAGGCTAGTAAGGGCAGGAAAAAAAGTTCTCCTTTTCTGTCCTTTTTAGAATTTTCTTTTTCTACTGACCTCTTGATTATTCCATGTGCCATGTGATCTAAGAAGGTTGCCACAGTTTGTTGAATCTTGGATACAATTAATTTGACTTGTATTAATTTGGGTATTGCTGGTGCTACTGTGATTTCATTGTCATATTATCTGTTTAGATTGTCATTACTTAGCTAACAAACTTAAATTAAACCTTAACTGTTGTGAAAAGTGTCAGAATAGTTGCTAAAGAAGCACTTTTTTGGTACATCTCATAATATGCATTTTGCATCCATTATTCTTTTATAAAATGCAAATGTTTGTGAGCCATGTGTTTAATCATGCATTATGTTGCATAGCATTATGATTTAGATGAAGCACTAAGCAACTAAACTAATTGGGTAAGGAGGTGCAGTGAACTCAGAGCATAGCTGATAAAGTGGTTGATGTAATTACAGTTTATGCAAGACGTGGATGCTTTTGAAAATAATTAACTCAACCAAAGCAGGGCAAGCAATTGCAGTACACAAGATTGTTTTTCATAAACTGATTATTGCCATATTCTTGAAAGTGAAAGCTAACATTTTCTGTAATTACCATAGTTACCTGCCTTAATTTTCTGTTTCCCCTTTGCTTTAACCCTGCATCAAATCCTTTTATACTAATTAAATTGTGGTTTTGCTGATGTTATTTAAAGAAATCGTACTTGAAAAGACAAAGACCATACCTTAAATAATAGTTTTCTTTAATATCCTAAAATGTCTTCAAAGACAACATGGGTTTTTCTTTTCTCATGCACATCGGTGCCAACTGCTTGACTCATGCACTGTTGTGGAATAGACCCTGCAATATGGCATTTTCTTCACTGCCAAGAAAATGAAGCTCCCCAATGCCTGTTTTAATCATTACGTTATAAAACTGATCTAACAGCCAACATTTGTGTTTCAGGACTTTGTCATGAAGATCATCCGATCCTTAGAGAGTCCTTCGGCAGTCATACGTGCAAAGGCTTTCCTGGTGCTTTTACAGGTTCTGATGAACAACAGGGAGATGCTGCTGTTGTGCTGTAATTCCAGGTACACAAAGCAATCAATTTACATAATTCAGTAGCACCTTCTGTGGAATATAGGTCTGAGATCCTGGCAGAGTACTACATAGAAAACACCATTAAGAGAGTGGAAAGTCAATTAGCTTTGAAAATATCTAGACAAATCACGGCACAATAATTGTGATAAAATTTAAACTAAAAACTAGTTTTAGTTTTGGAATAATGTCTTTCTTGTAAGATCTGCTGGAACGTATGTAGGCCTGTGAATGTTATATTGTAAAATATAAACTAACAACAACCACCTAATTACCTTATTAGCCTTAAGATCCTGCACCATTTTTTTTTGGCTTCATCACGTTGTGGAGTTTAGTTTTAATAATTACTAAACATAAAAATATAGGTACATGCAAGGCAACCTATGAATGTCTGAGCATTATGCCGTGGCATCGAATTTGGTGAAATGTAACCACTGAGTGAACATTTAACTAGTCTTCTAAGAAATTGGAAAAATGTTCAATAGCACTATAGCATGAGTGAGACGAGAGGCATAGAGATCTGCTTTCGCTACAAATATCAAAGTGCACTGTTGTGTGACGATATTGGAGCAGTGGAATTAGTTTTGTCAAATAGCTCAGCAGTTAGAATAATGGCTTTCTGCAGGTAATACACTATATAGATCTCTACATCAAAAAGATGAATTGAATCCCATTTATTTTTGGGTGATGCTTTCTTTATGTGCAAATAATAAGAGATAATGGTACATCGGAGCTAACAAAGTATTGAATCCAAAATATTTTTTTTATCAAAACATAGTTTCTTTAATGTAAATAGATGAACTGCTATGTTTCTCTCACCATCATGTTAGTTGATGACCATGAGTAGTCCCAAGGGTTTGAACAAAAATCAAAGATGTGTTATTGTGTTTATAAAATTTTAGCAAATAGATTTTATCTTGTTTCACTTTAGTTGAAAAAAAAAACACATTATATCAACAAAAATGCACATAGAAATGCAAATTGAATTAATAGAAGTCATAGTTGGTTTCCTCAGCAAACTCTGGACCTACCTGAGATAAAATAATACCAGTAGCTTTTTAGAGTTGAAAAGGACATTTCTGAACGTTTTATAAATGGCATGTATTGATGACGTATTACATTTAGATTAAATCTAGATTAATTCTGACTATAACCTGAACAATACCCTTGTACTGTGCTAGGTGGGACCTGCTGTATAGAAAGCAGGTCCCATCTGTAATACTTCTGAAATCTGCAGTATTAACAGGTGGTGTACTATCCATCAATAAAGTGTGATTTGGATTCCTAGAGTGCTGCAAAATGCCATAGCATCGCTTTATCTTAAGTGTGCTTCTCTGCGACCACCCCCACCCGCCCACACTGTGCTCCAGGAGCATTCAAAATATAAATAGAAGCATCAGAGGCTTGCTTCATCAGAAAAGACATGCCACTGACACCCTGTGGGGCGCAGTTTCCAACTAGGTTGATTACATCTCCCATGAAAGCAACAGAAAATATTACTGCATGCATGCTTTGTGTTACGGGAATCAAACAAGTCGCTGCCTAATTCTGCAGAGGAAGAACCCCGAGTTTTCATTTGAAAGTTCCTAGTTGTGCACATCTCATGGACCATTGAGCCATATTGAAAATGCTCAGTTTTTTTAGATATTAAAAAATGCAGCTGGTGGACAAGGCTGCTGGTTTTACCTGAAATATGCAGCTCACTACTTTAGAAGTCTAATATTTTATTAACATGCTACTATAAAGATAATTATAAAAGCAGTGCTACGTTGGGTGAGCTACACCTGAAAACTACGAAATCCTCTTCCTTTGCAGCCATCTCTTTTATTTGTGAGCAGGCATGGTACTAATTGTTATCACCAGTGGTGAACTCGCAGTCAGGATGGAGCAAGACTGCTTTAGCAGAACAGCGATCACCTTTCTGAAGAACTGAGTGCTTAGTTCTTGTTGGCTTTTCTGGAGCATAGGGCATGATGGTTAAAACAGGATTGAAAAACCCTTGCCCAAATTAAATTACTACATTATAGAATCATGCAGTGTGTAATCTAAAACATAAAAAAATATGTGGTGGATAAAAACAGGATATGTAATGGCTCCTAGTAAATATTTACATTAATCTTACGATTATGTTATATCGAACGTAAAGTGGAAATATTTGAGCTGTACAAAGTCATAATAGAAATGCAAAAACATTGTAGTGTATAACCAGAAAGTAGAATAACATAGAGCAAAACTGTTGGAAGTTGTAATAAACTTCAGTTCTAGCTTTTGGATTAAAGACATGAAGCATTGAACGTGTGACATGGCTTTTCGCTCCATGTTTCATGGGAGATGCAGAAGAAAAACCTAAGATTATAATTAACACATGATGGGGACTTTTTCATTTCATCTTAGTGTTTGTCAGATACAAGTAGTGAACTGTATTTTCACCACCTCTACTTGAAATATTAAAGATGTGACTTGTATAATTTAATTCCTGTCTGTATTCTCAAGGATAATTGTTTCTCTACAGCATGACTGAAGCAGTTCAAGTGAATATCATAAATGAGCTAATTATTTTATATAGGTCAGCAGCTGTGCTGGGCAGGAGGGCCAGGCAAGGCAGAGTTTCAGGGCCTCTGTCAGTGTGGCCTTTCCTACAGATGCTGTTAAACAATGACAAGAGCTGTTTATTTTTTCAGTGCATTTTTACTTTTAAAAATTACACTTTAAAAAGTGCTTCTGTAGTTAGTTGCTCAGAACTAGGCAATTTAAATTTAGAAAAACTAAACAGTGAGTCCATCAATGAAACCTGTCCTGTTGTATATCATCTACTGTAATTATCGTTTATTATAACAAATCATTCCAGCAATCCATACTTTGCTACAGGAAGACAATATAATGAAAAATTCTGTAATACAGTGTTTGTGAACACTGTTATTATCAAACAGGGAAACTGAAACCATAACAGATCATTAATTTTGAAATTATCCACTGAACTTTGAGTCATAAAATGTGAGTGTGAAACTTCTACTTCTTTTTTTCCCTTATTTAAAGAATTTTCAAGGGATTTACAATTATTTCATACGTTCTGAAATGTACTTTACTTTATCTGATAGATTTAATTAATGTATACATTTTAAAAACCTAGTTCTTTGGTATTAAAATAAAAATTGGAAAGTTCTTAATTTTCTTATGTTATGCTCTTGGTGGCTCTCCAGTAAACATAGTAATATGATTTTCAGTGAAGTGAACATTCAAGATCATTGTTAAGAGGAGCAGTTATACTAATCAGCAGAACCCTTTGGAAATTATATAACTTCCCGTTACGGTAGTGGGAAACTAAAATGTCATCTTGGCTCTGTCTATCAATCCATGACATTGTATTACTCTTGAAATTGCTGTAGGGTTTCAATTATAGAGCAAGGCATTTAGGCTGACAGTCACATAGTGTTTTACAAAAGAGTGAACATTAATTTGTTCTTAAAGAGACTGTGCATTCCAGGACTATGCTATCCGACTCACAACCAGGGCACTTGAACTTGACACGCAATAGCATACATGTTCATTTGTTCTACATGTTGTTTTATTAGTTAACCTGTACTAATTTGCAGCACTGATTTCTTATCTCATTGTGATAATGATAATAATGATGATGGTGCTAGCTGTATTCATGTGAGCACACCTGGTCAAAAAATATTTCTGTCCCGGGTTGTGCTCTGTTGCTAAGAGGTTACCAGCTCAGGCCTGGCTCCTGTCACTAGCCAGCGGTGTCTAGGATGAATCGTGTGCAGTGTGCTCCTTACCCCTAGGTGTAGGGCAGGAGGTTAGGCAGCAGGCTTCTCTGATCTACCACTAATACAATGGCTTCAATGACTCAGCGGCAGACGTTTATAAAGGTACAGTGTGAAGAAGAAACATCGTTTTCTTATATAATATGCCTATTTACTATATAAATATATCTATTCTTATTTATAGAAAATAAATAAAAAAATTGTAAGAATCCAAAATAAAAGGAGAAGAGTTTTATACTAAATATTGTTTGCTTAAAAACGGTTATATTTTTTCTTATCTTTCAAAGCAGAAATCTGTTTTTCCTATTTCCATCTCAACAAAATACAGAAGCTGGGAATGTTAACAAGATCAAGGATTTTATTGATGAGTTTTATGTTCCAGTTGTTTGCATTATAAAACTACACCTTTGGGACCTGTTATGCAGTTCTAATAAATTTTGTAACGCTTAGCAGACAGTACAATGTTACCACTTTATTTAAGAGTTATTCTGAACATGCTAAAATATGGAGGCCGTTTCAAAAGAACCATAAAGAGCCATATTAAATCTAGATTGAATTTTGGTAGCCAAATACTTGATGTAGTAAACACCTATAAAATAATAATGAGAACCTTTTTATTTGTTCATGTTTTCTTTCTTTTTTTCATTTCTGCTTGCTTTGTTTTTTTGTAATCAGGCACTTAGGTGAGGTTTAGTGGATCATCCACCTTTCTGCACTTTTAGGATTGTTCTTCAGATGAAAGAGGAGCTCGAAATTACTTTATAAAATTACAATAAAATGTGGTGGCCTTGGCTCTAGTAGATATGACTGATGTTTGAAGATATAAAAAAAGCTTTTAGTTCTGTGATTATTTCAGAGATAGTTGAAGCAATGTATTTTGGTTTTACTTTTGATCTTTTATACGCTTCTTACTATTGAAGTGGGATGACTGAGGAATAATTTGAGTGCCTTGATGTATTGTTTCATTGGAATATGGATTGCACATGAATAAGTACACCCCTTCCTATCACTGGAACAAAGTCAGTCACTCTATGAACTGTAGTGGCACTTAAAACAATAGGAAATATTACATTGTCTGAACTGAAGGCTGTTTTCATTTACACTCTTGCTGAATTGTTTTAATGTATTTCACCTGGCCTAGATGGGTATGATCCTTTCCACCTGTTTCATCAGTCGAAACTGTGGCAACAAAAATATAGCATTTCTGGGTCTGTCATCCTGCCGGTGTGTAAAAGTGTTTTGTTAAAATACAGAATGATTTTAAAAACATGCAGTAATGCTTTGATGCTTTTATTGTACTATAGTTATACAGTGTGTGCTATCAGCTAGGTTGCTCAACATCTCTCCGTAGAGTTATGAAAATTTTTCTGCATTCTAAGACCAAAATGCTGAACATAGCAACAGCTAAAAATGAAATATGTCTGCTTAATTATATTGACGGAACATGCCTTGTATTATCACAAATATATGTGTCTCTAAATCCAATTTGATAAATGATGTAAAGGTTTTCTATACAGTACAGTCACGGCCATAGTTGTTAAAAGCATTTCAAAAGGGTTAAAGTCAGTCCAGAGTAGATGAAGTATATCGGCAGTTGCTACAATAATTAAAAATTCTTTCAAAACTGTGACCGGTGCAAAAATGCCGCATTTTACCAACACTATTTAATTTGTAGAAAGTATAAACTAAATCGTTCCTGTCCTCTGTTTTTCAAGACCCATTTCTGTTCGTTTACGGTTCAGAGGGCTGCTGAATAATAACATCTCCCCTCCTCTTTGTAGACTGGTGATGTACATTGAAAGAGACAGCAGAAAGGCCACGCCAGGGAAGGAACAACAAAGCAGCAATGAATACCTGTCAAAATGCCTGGACCTGCTCATCCGTCACATTGTGCAGGAGCTGCCAGCGGTTCTAGGTGAGTCAGTCACATGACAGGAAGACGTCTTCAACGAGAAAAAAAAACTGAGGATGAGTATCACAGACTTCAACGTGACAATTGTTCTCTTCTTTTTAAATACCTTACTGATTTTATTTTTAAAAAACCACAACTAATCCTGTCCTAGTCTGGAATACAAATGCTTTTTTTTAGTTCCGTAGGTGTTAGCATGGTACTGTATGTCCCAACAGAGTGCTGTATTAGTAAGGCACAGTACTCAAAAACGTATTTGTATGAGCCCTAATGAACTTTTCGGTCTTATGTGCCATTGACTTTGTACACAAGTCCTAGACAGAACTAACTCAAGCACATGTAACTACAATTTTAAAGATCTAATTGGTTTTACTTAAACCTGTCTCCTCATTTTCCTCATTACAGGAATTTGCTTTGCCAGTGAAATACAGAATTACATGTTTAAATACTTCTGACAGATGGATTTTTTATGTTTATTTTTTGCCAGGGGATGTCCTTTCTGCATTAGCGAATATTTCAGGCCGAAAGCATCCATCAACTGTACAAGCAAAACAGTTAAAGCAGTGTCTTCCCATGATGGGTGTAGTACTTCATCTTCTGACATCACAGGTGAGCCACCTTCTTCACACCCACTTTGGTTTAAATGTTTGTGATGCTTTCTTATGACTGGTGTTGACTGGTGTTACATATAGATATAGTGTGATTTGCTGTTACTGTACATAGAGTATATGCATAGAATGTTGGGGTCATCTGAAGAAGGTAGGACAAAGACAGGGACCTCAATGCAGAAGATCTCTCAGAGTTCTCTAAACAGAATGCAACAGAGGAATATGTGCTGACTGCAAATGTTTTACTGCAAATGTTTCCGATGTACAATTCGCCCTTGTGAACAACAATACCTGAATTTCAAAATATTATTTCCTATACTGTAGTCCTCATTCTGCTGGTTTCATGTCCATATTGCATTGTCAAAAACAGTTTAAAAAATACTGTGCTTCAAAAAACTGTTCTGTGAAAGAGTTGCAGTTCTCCAAGCAAACCTTGATATTGAAAAACCATTCGTATGTGTTGAATGCAAATGAAACTAAAACACTTTGATAATGTAAACACAGATTCAAGATAAGCATGTTCATTTCCAGGACTTTGCTAATAAGTGTTTATAAAACTGTCCCTAAATGATATAAAGCTGTCTTTATTCTGTAATGTTTGGGTATGACATCAGGTTATAATTTAAAAACATGTTCCTGACAATAACATTTGGAAGCCACATGTGGTGTGACTACCACTATGCAAGTGGTGTGTATAGTACACGCTGTGCAGCTTCTACCTTGAACCCAAGCATGCGATCGGAGTGGCACAGACTGATAGAAATTCTGTCCAAGACTCAGAAATCTACAGTATGCGGTGTAATATCCAGTGTGGTATCTAGATGCACACTGCAGTACATGGTGATTGTGTGATTGTGACGCTGAGTACGATTACCTACAGATCTGGGTCTTTCGACAATAAGATTGCGCTTGCCTTTTGGCTCAGTTCCTTGGCTAGGACTTCCTTACCCTCCGGTATTGACTTTAATGTTGGGAAAGGGCAGTAGATCAGGAGGCACCAACTGGGAGGCTGCATACCCCCTGGAAACCTACGTCTTTAAAACCACAGGCTGGGGTTAAACCTGTACTCCAGCATTACAGTATGTTAACTTTTTTTTTCTTGTCGTCCTTGGTATCGTTGACGACAAAAGAAAGATGTTTAGATAAAAATAAAAGCTCATGCAGAGATCTGATCCGGTGGTAGCATAACTGCCTTAAGAGGCATGCCAGGTTTTTAGCACCCACTCAGAATGTCATTACACTGTGATGAAGCTGTTAGAATCTCCCGGATCTCTTTAGATCTTAATAGTTTTTCATCAGGACTACGCCTAACCAAATATATCTCAAGTTTTTACTGTTTTTTGTGTTTCTACACATTAATATTCACAAGTAAACGGGGGGAAAAAAGAGTTCACTAGGAATGTGCTTCTGATTTACAGAAATGGGCTCCCCTGTGACACTGCCAGAGCCCATTCTTACTGATATTTAGAAAATAGTATTGCTAAGTTATAATAGTCAGTTATTTTTCTCTGTCAGATTCAATTTATATTTTAAAGACCAGATTACAGGTGGGATATAGATTTTCTTTCTCAGTAAAATATTGACGGTGGGGATTGAGCAGGATGATTCCTGCGTCCTGGGAGCTGCTGGTTCAAGTCCAGGCTAGGAGCTCGTGGGGAGCACTCCATTATTCGCATGCCCCAGGTTTTTGCTGGTCTTCATCATTGTTGTAGATACAGTCCCGGCTTTTGAGGTGGCGGCCGGCACAGGTCGGTATTCGAACATGACCTTGCAGTCTACCCTGGCAGACAGCCGAGGTGCTCAGTGAAGTGAGCTGCTGGAAATACGTTTACTGAGCGTGATATGACTGGACCATATCATGAAAATTTCGCAACAACTTACATTCTCATGGTTTCCAGTTCACATTCTCGAGCAGTATCTGACCTGTCCCAGGCACAGCGGGAGCAGCACATGTTAGAACATCCTGAACAAAAAACTCTTAAGCTTTGAAGGCAAGAACTGATAATAAGAGTCATGACTCAAAGCATTGCCTTTCAGCATTTGCTGTATTATTTATTAACTCATTCAGCTGACTTCAATGCTATATAGTGGAAAAAAGCACTTTGTTAAGATGGATTAATGGAAAAAAAAATGTTAGGAACCTCTGTGTCAACATACATAAGTTTGAACATATGTAATTTTTTTAATTGATGTGGATATAATTACAGTATGCCAACATGTGTGTGTATAGTTATTTTTTTATGTTTTCAGATATTTAGGCCACAGGTTGCAAAAGAGGAGTTTCTGTTCAACTTTGGGACACTTTTGGTAAGTTATTGATCCAACATTAGAGCGTGCTTGTCTTTGGTGGTGGTTTTGCACAACATTTTCTGAAATATTTTGCCGGCTGCATGTAGTTGTTTTACATATTTAAAATGTTCACTTTTTGAAGAAGAAGGCAAGTTGGACTGAAACACCAGTTGCTGAAAAAAAGCCTTTTGTTCCGGCTGCTCTGGTTTCTGCACTGCATCTAACCATTGACATATGAACAAGAAGACCGTACTAATGTTCTTTCCCCTTTGTTTCAAAATGATGAACCAATCACTAAAATTAAGACTTGTTGCAGAAATAAAGCCTTCTGTTACAGCTCCTCAGGTTTTATAGTATTAAAATTGATGTGAAATGAATGAATCTTCAATTCCTCACTTCTCTGTCTAATCTGTGCTGTGGCTGGGCTGCTGGACTTTGTTTGCCACTACTGGTGGAGAAAACAGGTGGCCTCTTATGTATAATATGCTATAGCATCCTTTGGGTTACAAAGTATAATCCAAATACTAGAAATTAGCAGTGATAAAAGGGCTGTCGTGTTTCATTTCTTAAAATGTTGAGACTCTGAAGGTTGAAAGAAGTTGAATGGGTGTTTGTTTTATTTTTATTTCACAAACTGTGAGTGGCAGGATTTCAGGTCACCGCACTAAATTCTTTTGTATGTTCCACAGCATCATCTCAAGTCCATAGACTCCTGTGAGACCAGCTTGGATAGTGCAGTAGGTGTGTGTTCTCCTGTGATTACCTGTTCTACTTTTCACGAGCACATAGCAAGCCGTGCAGTAAAGGGGTGTTCACCTTGTTGATTTTCAGGACAAGCAGCCTCAGAAGATCTGTTCAGGAGCACCCTGTCAGCACTCGAAGCAGTGACACAGCACCCAGCACTGCTGACGCAGTACCATTCGACTGTAAGTGCTGCCAGCACAGAAAACAATCTCTGGCGGCTCTCCCAAATACACAGTAGGGCCGTTAACCAGTCTAGTTTTGCATGCAACTTGTTAAAACGTCTGAGTGAAGGCAAAGGCATGGAGCTGGTAACTGCATGTTGAACAGATTCCCTCTCCAGTTGGCGTTTCTCTGTTTGAATGCACTGACGGGCAGAGAGGGAGACGGAGGGCACGCATCTGGTGATGAAAATGCACAGTCTGAGTATTTGGTTCTCCCTTGAGAATTCAAGTGAAAGGCCCTTGTTATAAATATTGACATAAAAGTTCAGCTGTCAGTTCTGCCTTTAGAGTGTCTTAGAGCTTCAAAACAATTTTGTTGATCAAAAGGAGTCCAAGTTATTCACGGTGTCACATTGAGAGAATGTCTTAGGGTGCTTTATTAAATAAGGCAGTTTAATTAAACTTTGTCACAAGTGATTTCACTCTACAAGGTTGTTATTCAAGTTCAAAAGTTGCAGCAGTCTTCTAATAATAAGTAAATTGAAGTAGATTTTCTTAGTGTTCCTTGCCGGAGTAAAAGAAAACTTAATTGGTAAATCTGTCAGCTGCCGTTCAATTTAGGAGATGTTGTATCATGTATAAAATTACCATACTGTATCCTTGCTTTCAGCACAATGTTTAAGAAAGAAGTGCACCAGAAAAATAACCATGTGTGTGTGTTTTATAAATAGAAGTATAAAACATTTTTTTCTTTCTTTAATCTGGAAAGTTTAATTAGTGCATCAAAAACAGCTGAACTGAGGTCTTGGTTGTTTTTGTTTAACTGGTTATACTTCATTTGTGCTGATTACAAGACCGGTAAATTATTTATATTAATGCAGTAATTTTTCTCATAATTACTGAGATTTTTGATACACAAACATATCCTTATATAGATTTATCAAACCGGCCTTTGAGTACAGATTTGATGGATGCATTAGTCTTATTACTGGTGGGTATTTTTATGTCCTTACCCTCCTGTATTGTACATGTCCAGACATACCGTGTTTCACCTGCTGCTGGAAACATGTATATACATTCACTTGTTATACGAAAAGTGCTTTTTCCTTGAAAAGTCCCAGCAACCTACCCAAAGAAATCTGACACATTGTGGCAAAGGGAAAATGCTGTAATGAACAGAGAACATAATACATGGGAAAATATATATAATTTTCTGCTTTAAATCTACCGATCCAAAATATCTGAAAAAAATTATCCTTATTGATATAAATAGCCTCCCTTGAAATGACCAGAAACAAATATACTGATGTACTACGGTATATCCAAAGACAATCTGATCACATGTCAATCATACTGACCAGAACAAATCTTTTCTCGTAGCATAATCAGGAAAAAAGTAGGCTTTCGATACCCATAATAAATGTTATGCCTATGTGGAGCCTTCAGTAAACGTGAATCTTTTGCAAGTGGTTCTATAGCAACATTGTGTTTGGACAGTGCGCCCCCAGTGTAAATGTGTCCTCCAGAGCTCACAGTTAGATGCCACATCAGAATATGTGTGTTTGTTTCTATGGAAATAATAATAAATCATTGTAATTATAAAAAGAGCCAACATAAGGACTTGGCTCATCTCTATGATCAAAGGGCAGTGGCTAAGTTGTATTTACATAGAAATAGGAGTTCTCATAATGGCTCGCTTTGTTATCCTGCTGTAGCCAATTACATATTTAAAGGGAGCGTGTCTTTTAGCTGGAGTATGTATATAATTACACGTAGATATTTGAATATCTGCTACAGTATATATTCATAGTTTCTGTGTAATGAAGTATGAAGCCTATATCCTTCTTTTCATGCCCTGAATCCCCTTTTTAAAGGTTGTGGACTCCATCCTCCCGCCTTTGGCTTCGCTCGCGGTCAGCAGAAACGGTAGGAGACCCTCCGCTGTCTCGGTCTTCCCGAGGTGTGCCAGTTGCGGTCACTGTGCAGCGAGGCGCCAGCAGGTGCAGTGCCGCTCTCCCGCTCACCGCAGAGGCTCAGGGACGAGCTCAGCCCGGACCTGAGCACCAGTTGTCCTTCAGCTTCACCTGCCGGACTCCCTTGTGCAGTAATACAGAGCTGTGCAGCGGGCCCGCGATTGTGTAATTGTGCGTGACACTGACGTTGAGCCGCAGTGCGGAGCTGTAGCCAGAAGGCAGTGGGCTCAAACCCCAGGTGGGCTGCTGCTGTCGTGCCCTTCAGAGAGTACTTCACTCACACTGCACCAGTCAGACGCCTCACTGTATAAACACCGATGCAACTGCAACTTCCTGTGGCTGAATTAGCCAGCTGATTTCCTGTTATCAGTCATGATGCACTCGTGGCCCAGATGGAAGTCTGCATAACCCATGAATGTGCAGGGGCTCTGCAGCAAGGGGAGTTCAGTAAAACCCACAGTCCCTTTTCCTGCAGCGGAGTGGCGGGTCTGCAGCTTGCGGGTGCTGTCGGAGATAACGCTGCTGCTGGTGAACCATGAGGCTGTGGAAAAAGGCGAGACTCTCAACTCCAACAGCAGACTGCTGGCTCTCATTACAGAGGCCTTGTTTCCACAGTAAGTCAACCGCTAAGCTCCTCTCTCCCTTCTCCCTCCTCCCTCCTCTCACTGGATCCTTGCCAGCTCATGCTTATGCAAATACAGCACTGCAAAAAAAACAATTAATAAAAAATAAGACACAACTGCTGTGTGTCAGGGTAGGGCCTGGGATATATATATATTGGAAAATTTTGAATTATTCAAATCTAATTCAAACCTCTAAGCTTTATTTATCTTTTTTTATTCTGGCAATGTACATTTTCAGTTATAGTTTGTAGCAGATTCCTTTTCTGGTGGTTTTATTAGACCGTTTCCATAACTATGCTAAAAGCTGAAAACATATTCACAAAGCTTTGACACATGTCAAAGGTCACTATCACCATCACATTTTCAACTGGTATTTTTCACACTTAAATTTTAACTTGATTGTTTTTCACAGTCTTCAGCTAAAAAGACCCTGTGAAATACTGTATTTAAAGTTTATAACATTGTGTTTAGAGTTGAATGGAAATACCATTCTTCTGTTTGTTTTTTTCTTTTTCTAGGTATGAAACGCTCCTTCTGGAGCCAGATCCGATCCCAGTGTACGCTCTGAAACTGCTCGTAGCTTTAACTGAGCATAGCCCCGCTCTCAACAGGTAAACAACCCTGGCTCTTCAAGAGCTGAATCAACCCACAGCCAGCGACTCTTCGCATGTGAGAACAGTGCTCGTGCGCTGAATCTGTGGCCCAAAGGGAAATCGCTCCCTTGGTTTTTTACATTTCTAAACTAAAACCACCACTTTCCTTCTCCTTAACTGCATTTTAGATCTAGTTCTGTAATTACTATAATCTGGAAATTATTTGTAGCTTAAAATAATAAAATAGGGCATGTGATAAGAAATAATATGCAATCTTCTATCTGTGTACAATGCCGTGAGTGACATTTTAAATAATTTCTCGAATACCTTGTCATTATAAGTGGGTTTTAAATCCCAAGCTAACTAAGTGGATATCCGAGCATGAATGCTGCACCTTGGGAGGTCAGGTGGGCTTGAGTCCAATGTATAAAAAGCAGAACTGATAAATATTGCAAATTGTAAGTTGAATTATTTACAGTTAATTCATGTATTAAAAATGAGATGACATAATGCATGACTTTTTCATGCTTTTGGCTTTTTTGATTTGGGTGCATTGATTCACAATGTGTTCTCCTTGGGAAGAACGATTTTCTGCAATGCAACACACAAAGAAAGATTTTTTAAGATTTTAGATTGAGAGAAAACAAGGCATGATGGAGTCGCATCTTACAAACTTTTTATTTGCACAAGGTTGGTGAAACTAGTATTTATTTGGTGATCGGCCTCAGTTTTCTTTTCTAGAAAAAAAAGAGTTTCAGCATTTTCTGAAGTTCTGCTTTATACAGTACAGTACATGAAAGAAAATGAGACTAAAGCACAAACAAGAGAATGTAACAAAATAGTAAGAGTAAAAAGAATAAAATGGCGATGGTCTAAATGCATAACAGCAAAAATAAAAGTAAGATATGGGGATAGAAATATGAATTGAAATGTTTGTGCTAATGCATTGCATGAAAATACCATAGCTAGTGTTGTGTGGACGAATGGGGAGACATTTATCCAGCAATGGAGTGCTTAAAGGCTGAGGCTGATGGTGTACAGGTTGATATGGGCATTGACTCACTTGGTAAAAATAAGGATAATTAACTTTTTGCTGTTACATCTTCAACAGATAGGTGCGAGGGAAAACAAAAAGGAGATTGAAACTTTAGCTTTCAGCAAGCCACTCTTCCAGAGCACACTATTGTAACAGAAAGGAATTATTTCGATTGTGAAATATAAGATGGGAAGATGTTTCCACGAAGGACTAGAGATGTCCTGGAAACAGGTGTGGGCTTCGGAATGGTCTTTAGGACCTTTGAAACATTTCGAATCTGCAGGCAGTAACAATGACGGAGCGCTGGCTGACAACAAATAAAAGGACAGTTATAAAAAACATTAACCACCCACAACTTATATTTTCATCCTAATTCTACATTTGTAACTGTTAAAGTAAATAGTTGACTGTTAATTAATAGTGTAAGTGCACATTAATGTTGGCAAAACATGAAAGTGCACATTCATTATCCATAGAATTAATAATAATTATTGAAGTAAAAAGTATATCTCTAAAATAATAGCATATTTTTCTAATTGCAATTTTTAAATTTATATTCATACCCTTTATAGGCCGGAAATAAATATTGTAAATTTAATATGTTAATGTTTCCTTAGTCCGCTGCTTGTTTCACAAGGGCTCGAGAAGTTTGGAAAAAAAAAAGTCACCTCAAATTGCCACCGGTCGTTAAGGGAAAATGAACACAGAAGAATAAGAAGTATTTTATCCAAACGCGCAATCAGAACAGAACAATGTCTTGGGAGGATAACTTACACCCAAGGGCAAGGATTGGGAATCTTTTAAAAAAAACTAATAACTAGCTGAATTTATTACAAAACTATGAAAACCAATGGATGATTATCATAATCCTAAAGCTGGGGTGTAAATAATTGTGAGCATATTGAAATACTGAATTTACATTCAGTTTTCTTTGAGCAACACAAATTGAATGTACAGTTGCAAATGTATTTGCTGAATCTATCTTTTAGTTATATTGTATCATGTATGAATATATTTGCGAGCTAACTGAAAATAACATTTATCGATTATAGAGATGATTTAAAGTTGTTATTTAGAGTAAAACAAGATTGAAAAACATTTTTCCTTCCTCATTATGTCACAAAATGTCTTAAACATTTTAATAATAACATAGTATTTTGGAATATAATTGTTTAACCGTTACAGGACACTGAACTGAACAAGTACTTTAACTTGTTTATTTACACTTTTGATCAGGAAAGTAAGTGCTGTTTATTCTGCTTAAGCTTGGGCTCTTACGTTGTGTTCATTGAGAGCACCAAACATACAGCAGAATTATTTTGTTCTCAAATGTCCTCCAGACTCTGTATTATTTGTCTCCGTTATGGATATGGCATTTTATTAAAAGTGCTCCTAGGGCTATTACAGTAATATGGTAACTCCTTTCCCTGCACTTTTTTCACGCAGCAGTAATATTATCAAGCAAGGTGCTGCTGTGCACAGACTTGTCAGGTTTTCTTTATCGTCGGGAGAATGGGAGATCGAGAAATCCCAACATAAGGCAGAGATTGATTGCAGTCATTCAGATTACTGCTTTGTGATCCAGACTCACTGATCTCTGTAAGCTGAGCATGTCCAGACAGTATCTCTGCTGAATAATGTGTCACCTGTGGGCTGTATAAGACTAAAGAGTTGACAAAGGATGTTTTAAAAGCCCTCTGGGTGTTTTAAAAATCTTTCATCTTTACTCACTTGTAATAACTCGTAAATTACACTTGAGTACCAAACTTTATTGTTCCATCTAAATGTTTTGAAGTGAGATGAAACAGAATGCAAAAGCACTAATGGACTATACACATAATTCAGTGCTTCTGGTGCTGACAAGCACAGACCCTGTAAAGTCAGATCTTACCCAAAAGAAATCCTTAAAACTCTTTGATTTACTTTGCTGTGGATTTTGCTTGTTTTTGGTTGCAGGGATTCTTTCAAGTTCTATGTTTCTGCGTAATATAGGACTTGGATAGGATGTTATACTTTAGACCTGCAAATTTGCAGTTTAGTATATCAATGTAAAAATTGTCTGGCTATGATATTGAAATTTATTAGTAAAGGTGGTCTTGATAGTATGAAATCGGACTGAGAATTCTAGTATTGCTCATGGCTAATGGTATAAAATTTCCCTAACAAATGTCAAAAATATGCATATAGATTACCTGAAGACTGAAAATATCCAAAAATATAAATGGTTAGATTTCTTTGCACACAATGAATCTTATTGACAAATATTGAGGTATTCTGTGAACATTAGGTGGAAGTTAAGTACTGGCAGTTTTTGTCTGTCATAGAAAGGCACAGCTTAAGATGATGACAGTGTGGTGTTGTCTGTGGTCCTGACTGCAATACTGACATGCGATTCTCTGGACCCGAGCTCACCTTACACAACAAGTCATATTGTATTTTAGGGGAGTGAATATTATTTTCATACTTGTGTATTTCCTTGTTAGAATAAAGGGGATATTTCAGAAAAGGTTTGATCCTCCTCTGTAAATATTCAAAGCTGTTAGTTTTGGTGTCTGTAACCCTGTCTCATTCCCACTTGTTTAGACTTTCCAGTTTGTTCAGGAAAGCAAAAAGATTTTCACACCTGCAGCCCTCATGAAGTTTGATGTGGAGTTTGACAGCTGCACCATCAGATCGAGATGGTCTGTTTTATTTTCTCTGTGGAACGTCTTTTCTCAGGCCACTAGCTTACAGCAGCTGTCCTGTGAAAGCCTAGGTGTACAACTAGCATGCCTTCTGTGGCACTGATTGCTGCACCAAACTGTTTAAACCGCACCATTTGTTGTGTTTCTTATGTCTGAAAGAGCTAGTGTAAGTCAATGAAGCATTCAGCTGAGTTTGCAGCTGCATGCTATAGTCGATTAATTACAATTTAAAACGAGAAACGTTCAGTTTAGATTTTTACACAAGAGCTTGTCTTGCATAAGAGTTTGAAATGATAGAGTTCTCCTGAAAATTGGTTAAAAGGGACTTTGTCTGAGCTCTCTAGCTACATTGGCCCGTTGTTTGAAACGTGTGGATTCTGTGCTTTCTGCAACTTATTCTTTTGGACAGGCATTATCATCCAAAATAACATTGGAAGGCAATACTTTGCTGAATATGTTTGTAATCTAATTTTCATGTTGCTAGTCTAAACATATGTTTTCTGAAGTCAGTTTAGATGTCTTCCTGATGCTAAAGAAGACTTATTTCATAGTTTAAGTAGACATCATCTCAGTGACAAATGCTATGTTGTGGTTATTATAAAATATGGTATGTTATTAGCAGCTTTGTTTCACTAATAGGCGTGTATTAGACATATATTACTTGTTAAACCATTAACCAAGATGTATTTTAGTAATACAGTATAGTGGTAATACATGACATAGAGGAGACCCTGAAAATAAGTTACCAGTTGTACAAAGTCTATGTTAAAATTTCTTTTTTTTATTGGCCATGTTGAGTACATAGCACTCATCCAAAATGAGTCATTTTTAATACCTTCAGTACCTTTTTATTACACGAAGACATCTTTTACCCTGTTATTAAAATGGACGTTGGTATTTGTGCTGTCAATTAGAATTTAGAGCACCTCGACATGTCATTTACCTTGCTGTCTGGGGGATGATGAAGGTTGACTACTCCTGACTGTTTGCCAGATTCATCTTACTCCTGTCTCACATTTTGCTTTCCATCTGATTCAGCACGAAACTGCCTGTGAATTGACAGATCTGTTTTTGAAACTATTCTGACAGTAATGATAGGGTTGTGGAGGAGTGCCTGTCAAACCTGAAAGTTATGGACTTTGCAAAAAGAAAGGGCGAAATGCATTCAGTTGATTTGTGTGTACATGTGTTTTAGTACTGGTGTAAATGACTCCAGTGGCCCATTTGTTCAGTGGCTGTGAAGCATTTGAAGGCATTTCGGGCACAGCTTGTGTTAAGTGAAGATGATATGGCTGATTATCTGTAGTCTTTCAGAGACCTTTTTATTTAATTTTTTTCGTTGTTCGGCATGCTATTTTCATTCCAGTTTATAGTGTGCCTGATGCTGCCCCACATAAAAGTGCAAGATGGAAGGAGGAGGGCCATGTCTCTCTTGTGTCTTTCCAGAGCCTCTATTTAAGTGGTGTCGTTGTGTGGCTGAGTGCTAGACAGCGGTCCCCCGTGAGGCATCTCTGAGCACGTCCTCCCTTTCCTCTGCTAATGCAGATCATGTCCTGATGACTTCTTTCCTCTCCTGCAAACCTGTCATTGCCACTCTGCCTGCAGGTCCCCATCCTAAAACAGCAGCTCATTACTGTCTGTACTTCGACTGGGTGGGAGGTTTAATAAAATATCATGCCCTGTGCTAGCTCAGTGAAGCTCACATCTGTTGATGGGAGTTTTTGATTATATAAGTGAAAATTACTGGTGAAAAAAGAGGGCATGCCTATACTTTGGGTCTTCCTTTTCAGCATCATTATTGCTCAAAAGCTACAAAAGCAAGGTTGCTTAGTCATTGTGGAGGTGTCACTCTTCACTCTGGACAAGAATTTCCCAAAACCTACGTGCCGGTACAGTGACCCGTGAGACACATCGGTGGAAGGGGCCTCCCTTCAGTTGACATGTTAGACTGACTACGTGGTCATTAAAGATGCCTTGACGATTTTCAAAAGAGTAGGGGTGTCATGACCAGATTCTGCTCTAATCTTGAACCATCTGGCCTCTCTAAAGTTAGAGAAGCAGCAGGGCTGCTGGTGCATCACTAATAATGACACTGTAGCTATAATATCTCTCACGTTGGTGCTGTGCTTCAGTGGTGAATGAATTGTACGTGTAAACCACTTTGGGATGAAAACTCTTCTCATTTCTGTATCTTGTGTTTTAATGTGCTGTGGTTTGTGTTTTAATTATTTACTAATTTTGCCATTGCATACTTTATTGGTGTGTTTGATATTTTCAGCCTTTGCAGAAGAATTATTCTAAAAAACTTTCAGCAGTCACGGGTGAAATTATTTTCAAGATTGATGGCTCTGAATCATTATTTTGGAGAGTACAGAAGTTACAAAGCATCACTGGGGTTATTTGGGGGGGGGGGGGGGGATCTGACTATCTGGGGAAATAAAATAAATGAAGTGATGGGAAAAATGGCATTTCATGAAATATTGTTCCTTTGGAGGACTTTATAGAAATTTAACTAAATGTCATCTAGCTTTCAGCCTCCATATGTGCACAAAGGGAATGAAAGTCAAACTTGATTAGTTTTTAATTTTATCAGATGGGAAATCCAACAACAGTGTGTTGTATTTGATGTTCTAGCACCTTTGGGATGACTTTTCACAACACAAATGCCACTTCCTACAAAGTGCAACACAGGGCAGAATTAATTGCCTTCTTATTAACTGCGTTATGAATTAAATGTGAATGTGGTATTTATTTTTAGTGCATCCTGACACCAGAAGATTCTATTGAACAATGCATGAGCCCAGAATTTTCTGGGATTTAGTGTCTCGGGAAAGTGATTAATTTGAGTTACTTGATGTGTCAGTTGTTTACGTTAAATACTAGTTTGATTACTTGTATAGAAAAATAATATTTATATTGGTCTTAGGCATTTGGGGGCTGTTACACTCTTTTCTTTAACATGACCCTTGCTCTGTAAAATGTGGGAGCTGTTTCCCTCAATATAATTTTAGATCGATGTTATAGATTTTTTTCTTGGCCAGGTTTCTGAGAACAGTGGAGTCAGAAAGGGAGATCAGAGACTGTACTTGCTGTCAACACCTACTGTATAGTGACACTAACCCGTACATGTCCAAAGAAAGTGTGCAGTGAAACCTTTTTAAGTAAAAAATATGTAAAAGCCTACTTTATCCTTTGTGGTTGTCATTAACCACTGTAATGGTTGTAATTCAAAACTCAACAGGGTTTGGAATAGTTCATGTTTTTAGACTGATGCTCAGGGATGCTCAGTACCAGGAATCAGGTTATCGTTTCATTTTCTTTTGCTTCCTTCTCCCCTCTCTCTTCTCTTCCCTGTCTTCTCGCTGTTCCACTGTTGCTGCAATTCGGATGGGAGAATTGCACACAGTCCTTCTCCCGCCCTGACGCAGCACGGTGAAAAAGTGCCCGACTCTCGTCAGCAGCTTTGCCTGGGTTTATTTACTGTGTCATGACAGTTTGACTCGTCCATGGATACATATTCACGGACAGCGAGCAAAGGACAGGCTGTGGTGCTGCTTAAAACTCTTTACCTTTTTACCTGTCATTTCAGAATTAACTAGAATAATGAATAGTTCTGTGAAAAATGTCTTTTAATCATCCGCAGACCTTTAAGTTACATCTATTGCAAAAGAAGGTCGGAAATAATGAAAAAGGATCAAAATAGTCTTTCTGTATGCACTGTGACAAAATGCAGTAGGTTTATTGCATTCTGATGTTAACGGTATTCTGTTTTTGAATTAAATTGTTTTGAAATCAATTTTCTTCCATGTCCAAAGGATTACTGATGAATACAAAGGAGTTGTGTTCATCTGTATCTGCACAAATACATTGCTGTAGTATAAAGCTAAATATTGAATTGTTATTTATATACTTTTCACTAGAGATTCAATCAGGTATAACGATACAAATTACATTGCCAGGTGATAAATCATTATTAAATGGCAACCTTATGTTTCTTTTTTATCTGTGACCTCTAACTAATTTAATTCTCTAAAGCTGCTCAATTACAGTTTTTTATTTCTATACCAACCACCTTTACATACATTCAGTAATTGCTTGTGAATCAAAAACCTTAATCAATTTGTGAGAGCAAGTCATTTTCAATAAACTGGTACATTACTCCTTCTTGCTTGGCTGTTGTGAAGCTCATTTTCTTGAGAGAATTAGTCAAAGGTCGTTTTTCAGATCACTGATCTTGGCACTGCATATATTCATGTTACATTCTTTACACTGAAGAATGTATACAGATGTAGTATTGGTGACTTTATGAAGATTGAATATTCACTTGCTCTTAATATAATATTAATGTTTTGTTTCGGTTACAGGCTCATTGAAGAAAGCAGTCTCTTACCTGTCATCTTTCAAGTCATTTTGGTGAGTGCATTTTAAAATTGAATTTCATTCCTGTTTTTTTTTTCGAACAAAATGTATTAATTTAAATTCATTACTGTTCTGCTTTTGCTCCATGCTTGGAATAAGCAATCACAAGGAAAAATGGTTTGCTGAGCACACACTGCTGTGAATCCACACCTGATGAAAGTGCCTTAGGTTTGAAATGTGTAGAGCCATGTAGTGATGAAAAACTGTATTAGCAGTATATTAGGTTCATTCCAATTTGATCATCTGTCATGAAAATGTATGTTCTACGCAATGTGTAGAAAACTTTTCTACTATTGAGGCATAAGTCAAGCTCTGTTTTGTACTGGATTTGGTTCAGTATAATTTTTCATCTTGTCATGCATAAGAACACAATCTTTGCATTGCATTCTTATTTGTTTTTTTTTTTAACTTTATGCAAATGAAAAAAACAGAGGTAGGCTCATTAGGCAAAATATGTTATTGAGTGACAGAGAAGAAAGTGGGAGCTCAGGGTTAATTGAGCTGAGCTGCAGTGGCTCATACTGTACAGTGTAGTGCAAGCTGCAGTCATCATCACATTGAAAAACCTGAAAAAATCCTCCTGCCTGCAGTCCAATAGGAATCTTCTAACAAGCAGATGAATGTGGTATCTCATTGCACTTGCAGTTAATATGGATATAAAAATAAACATGGATTTTGAGCTACTCGGTACTGCACAGAATAACATAGATCAGACCTGTCATCAGAGCTGTAAAACAAGCAGCTTTTTAATAAAATGCTTTACATTCTTTACTGTACAATATTAGAGACATGTTCTAATCATACAGTCACCAAATCCAAATCAATTTCCACTGATCAGTTTCCAAAATAAGTGTATCTTATAATATAAGAGTATTATACTCTGCAATAAACAGTGCAGTTTCTCTGTGGACGTATTGTTGTAATTCTTCTTATGAATTGCTCAGTTGATTAATAATTTATATAACAGAGAAAAAAGTAGAAATGACTACTGAAATTTAATTACATCACTCATTACATCACAAGGCTTCTTTCTGTTCAATCTTCAGAGACAGCCAGAGTTAAATAAATATACTATATGTATACAGATAACTTTGATCTGTTTCCATGTTTTCTGTTTCCTGTCTTGTTTTCATTAACGTTAAAAAACTGAAATGAACCTTGCAGATAACTCTTCAGATTAAATTGTAAACAAACTGTAGTCTGTTGGATAATTCCTTAGTTTGAAGACACTTTCCTTTAAAAACTGCTGGTCACAATAAAACTAATTGTGTTGACTGTAAGGCCAGTTCCCAATTTCAGTCACTCTGTTGTGTTGCATTCTAACACTGCGTTATAAAATCCACCTTATGTTATATCAGTTCTCCAGTACTTATTTACATAGTTGGGGTGAATCCAGTAAACCGAGATTGCTATATGGAAGATGTCAATTACTAGAGGACATACCCCTTATGAGAGAACAGTATCAGCTGTCATAGGTGTCTTCCTCGAATAATAAACAGAAAAGGTCAGTGTTTATAGTTGTAATATTAATAAAAGTGGATCTTTCTCTCTTGCATACTTATTTTACCAAGTTATGCACTTTTAAAACCTGAATTAGACTTTAAAATATTTTTTAAAAATCTAGCTAAGCAGAGTTTAATTAGCATAACAAAAGTGCTGATGTGGAAGATTGTCATATACAAGATACAATATATTTTTTCCTTAGACCAAATGATCCACTTTGATTCTAGAAAGGCATCTGGCAGAGGCTCTGAGACGTGTAGCTCTGTAATGTGGTTCAATGGAAAAAAGGGCGTCTTTTAAAAAGCTGGGCCAAGCATCTTTCAGAAGGTGTGTTGGTCATTTTTAACAGCTAATTCACTAACACAGACTCCTTACCGTAAGTCTCCTTCTGGTCCCAGTGGACAGATTTGTGTTGCTCATGCTCTGGTAAATGGTCTTATGACTACAAATATTTCTCCCGGGTGGCAGGATATGTTACATTATAGGCATCCTCAAGCATCTGCCTGAATGCTTTTCACAGCACAGGAAGCATTTAGTCACAATAAATGAAACCACACTCGATAGACTACTCGGTCAGTATTGCACCTGTGTCTCATCAGACTAGTAAAAATGTAATATCGAAGTGGTATACAAATCAGTGGCTTGTTTTCCTAATAAAATTAATGTTTTGGAATGGTTTCAGCAGGCAGAGGGTTTTGTGAATAAAAAGTAATGGAGCATACATCCCCAAGCTAGCTGTTCCTTCTACTCTAAAGCATTTTGAAAGTGCAGCTTGTCATTAACAACATGCTTTGTACACTGCAGCAAAGCACAGCCCTGCATCACTTGCAATTTGTGAAGTGAATGCAGAATTGTACAGTTGCTCTGTAATGCATGAAACAGCGGAAGAAATTTTGTTATATCACTATAAACCCATTAAGAAGATCCAAATGAAGTGAATAAAGAAAAAAAACGCATTTTTTGTTTTCTGATCATTTGGCTCTAAATATTTTATGGTGAATTGTTATTTTGCATAATGTAACATTTAATAAAAGTAGTAGTTGAAGCAGTAGTGCAATTGTGCTAAATTATGTTGCCAAAAATCCCTGTAATGTCTGAAAACTTCACATTTTGCATCTGGTTAACTGGAAGAAAAGCCACAGTTACCTTTGATTTTGAAAAGTCGCTCGCCACCACACATGGAATATCGCCCTTCCACGGTGCAAGTGGGCGGATCTGTATATTGGAGCTGCCAAGCCCTGTCTGTGGGAAGTGGCAGAGCATGTATTGTGTCATACTCTGAACACCCCAAGGCTGGAGGAGATAATGAGCCATTTCTTCCTACACATCAGCTCCTTTCACTTTCATGCAGTTGCAGGTAGGACATATTTACTTTTCTCCTCGGAGCTTGTTAGAGTCTGTTCCCCACACTTGGTCATGGGCGCTTGCCCCTTTCCGATTCCGAGCTCTTTCTCTTCGTTTTAAAACACAACGTCAGGAACTGAGCTGGTGTTGCTGTTATTGCTTGATTACATCTGTTCCATAGGACTGTATTATTGCCTTTTCAACTCACTAGCTGTCCTAAACTAAAGTCCTCTATGAGCAGAAGAAAAGGCTCTTTAAGTAAAGGAATAATGATAGGCAAGATCACTGAGCTTTCCAGACTGCCAGTCTGGTGGCAGAAAGGTTCCTACAAATCCTAGCCAATATCTTGGTGTTAACAGCTCATCATAGTATCAGTGGCTACACACATGGCTACAGGCCACCTGATGTGTCCCAGCGGGTCGGGTCTACCTAACGTCAGGCTGACGCAACATCTGTGCCTCTGAGCTCCACGTCCACAAGGTCCTCGATTTCACAGGGCCAAGTTGTCGTTGGGTTGGGTTCTTGATGGCCATTGTGTCAGTGAAGTTTGTAGGTGAGCTCTCAGCACTTATTGCTTTGTAGTATCTGATTTGCTGGTTATGGCTCCAGGTTCTCGTGATGTCTGAACCCGGCCTTCCTTCTGAAACTCATCTCGCTTTTCGGACCTTAACCAGACAGTGGAGCTGCTAGTCTTCCACCTGGGCTCTCTTCTCCTCGACGGTTGAACACGCCCTGCTATAAAGAGCCATACATTGCCCTGCTATAAAGAGCAGACAGAAGAGTTGTATAAGACAGACTAGTTGTTAACCTGTCTTAGTGCTGACTAGCACTGATCCCAGTACATTATAGACACTCTTTTGCTGGCTCAGGACAGCGTGGGCTTCCTATACTCGAGCCGCAGTGTGTTTTACAGCTGTTGGGCATGTGAGCTGTAGCTGGGTGAGCTCCTCCATACTCCTTTGCAAAGTTCCACCATACTTGGGGTCTTCTATACTATACATGGGACCAGTGGTACTAGAGGCTGAAAGTTTGTTGGACCCGGAGACAGAATGACTGGTTCTGAGTTGAACTCTGATCCCATCATGACCACTTACGCAATGGCTTGGAGGCACAGTTCCTGTCTGAGGCGGCTCAAAAATTCAGAAATTAAAGGGAGCAGCTGCTTACAGATGTGAGCGTGATTCACTGGAACGGTCCAGCAGATCACCTTGCTAGCCCTACGTGAGCGTGCAGGTGAAAGAGGCTGAAATACACAGTCCAGACTGCTCACACCCTGGGGGGAGCACCAGCTCGTTAATGGTGGCTTTTTTACTCTTTCAGATCTATAAGTTTATCTTGAAATTTTACGTTTATGATGTCAGTCTTATGATGTCAATTTTATGTAAAAAGTTGTTGTGTAAAAATAAAGAAACTTAATTTTTGAATTCATGAACATAGAAAAGGATGCACAATACAAAAAAAGAGTGAATATAACAAAGCTGTATCACATTATATATCTGATTTTTAAGTAACTGTTAAATCTACCAAAGATTTATGAATAATAAATGTACATCTAGTTCACGGTTCTGTTTAATTGCTCTGGTTGGCAGTTTTTTCCTATTTTCCCTGTTTCTTCATTTTGCTCTGCTGCGACCCATGTTGAATTCAGCACCATGTGACAGTCTGCAGGCTAATCCAAGCCCACTGTGTAAGGCTCCCTTATTGCTGTTGTCTGGGGAGAGGGGAGGGGTGCTTAAGAGCATGTACTGTAGCTAAAAGCAAGCAGAGGAGCTTTGTGATCGATAACAATAAGGTCTGGAAACACCAGAGGCCTGGATAAGAATTCTGTCTTTAAAAAACAGTGGAAATGGGAGAAAAAGGAGAGAATGTGTAAAGGGTAGGATGGAGAAAGAAAGGCTTTAATAACGTCCACTGCACTTGTTTGTACTATATGCACAAGTCCTCCAGAGAGTGATTCAGGGAGTAGGCCTGCTGTTTCCCTCATTAGTGTGGACAGTAAAGATGCTGTCTGGGTGACTGCCATCTCCACCACAGCGGTTAAACTGCAGCAGGCTGAGATTTTAATTATGTCTTAATTATCTTGGCTGCGATAGACAACATTTCTTCATGTACAGTAATATAAAGAAACTGTCCTTACAGTAGCTTCAGGTGACACAGATGTGGACTGCAATTGCAAACAGAAGGAAGAAAGCTTCTCTAAAAGGCCCAACTAACATCATTAAAATAATTTTACTGTCTTCTTTAATACAATACTCATTTAATTTTGTGTTTTTTAGACACAATGGGATGAAAGGACATTGAAAGCTTGCGTCTTGTTAATTTTATTAGGCATAGTAAGAGCTCATTCATTTCCTGTGTCTTCTTTCAGATAGTAATTCAGCATGTTTATAAAGTTTAATTGTTATTAGCTATAGCTGTGGTTTTCTGTCAATATTTGAGCACAATTTATATTATTTTTTTCTTACAATTTATATTTTCCTTGTTAGATTCAGAAGCCTATTAATCAGCCATTTTCTAAAAGATTTTAAATGCCTCAACCACGAAGACATTTGACACCAGAATTATGAAGGCATGTTTGTGCACGTCACCGAAGTAAAACGGACTAAACCTGTGCACTGTAGCTGTTTATCTACTAATGCGCTGTTAGCCCACTTCCCACTTGCCATGAAGATTTCAGCAGTAAGAAATTGGTGTCTAATGTTTAAACACTACAACATACATCCAGCCCTAAAATCCTGAACACTCTGTCTTCATGTTGATGGTATGTCTCAGGTCTGTCAATGCGTTACTCTGAAATGAAGATATAATGAACAGGAAGGTTCCAGACAGACATCCCTTAGAAAAAAAAACAATGCTAATGTGCCATAAATAAATTCCTTGCTGACACTGCTGTGCTTCTTTGAGGTGGTTGCTGTCCAGATCATGGTATCGTCCTTGCAGGACGACTCCCTTTCGCACACTGCTGTGCCTGAGAGCTTGAGTGTTGTTGTGTGCTATAGAAGCTTTACTGCAGTATGTCAAATTTTAGTGCAGTATGTCAGCACTCAGTGGAGCTTCATGAATATTTTCATGTGTTCATGCTGTAATACAGATATTAAGAAATCATTCTGCTTTATCTGCTTTATTTCAAGAAAATAATAATATGGTAATAATTTAGGTTTAGTAACTTATTTGTGTTTTTTTGTGACGTGAAATGTTGGGGGGAAATAAATTGTGATGCTATTAAAGCCCTGATTGTTCTCATACAGTTTTAAATGCAAAATTGTGAGGGTAGGAAGGGTGTCATAAAATTTTAAGACTGAAAGAAGAACTTAATTCTGTTATTATAAATTCAATAATGTTTAATGTGTTAACTACCTTTTGGTTTTCTTTGAAGACCTAGAACTGAACTTTTTAACTGGTGCTGAAATGTGTGATCTGCATGCACAAAATATTATTTTTTCCAATGTGAAAGTGGTTGAGCTTTTTATCCACCATATTTTAAGAGATTGTGAATACCACATATAGTGCTTGCATACTTTTTAGTGCCTGCTATTATTATCTATAGCATAATGTTCACATATTCTTTTAACAAGCTAGCAATAAACATGTGGCTAATGACGTCAGAAGTGTTAATGGAGTGCTGTATAGTACAAATAACATCTTCATTGCTTTTGGCATTCAAGCCTTTACGTTCTTATAGATCAAAATAAAAATGAAAAACGTGTACTAGTGCATTATAAACAAATCGTTTTTGCAGGGTTCATAAAACATTTGTGAAGTCTTAGCCTAAAATGCTTAAGCTAGTGGTACTTATTGATTGTTGCTACTTCTGCTGTGGTTTCTGATTCCTTGAAATAAAAGCTGTGTTTGTGGAATACATAGCAACCAAATCAAAGGTCAAAATCCATGTCTGTTTGTTGTGCAAAGCTAAAATGGGATTATTCCACAGATGTCTCCTTGTTGTGTAGATAGTACAATAATCTAATTAGAAAGCTGGTGATGGGGGTGTGCGTGGGTGTGTGTATGAGTGTCTGTGTACTTCTCTGGGAAGCGTGGGTCCAGCTGTTAGACACAATCTACTTCCTGTGTTACGGAATGGTTGTCTTAACAATACTGAACTAAAGTATTTAAGAGTGAAAACACAAAAGATAGTAGTTGGTGTCTTTATTATCTTGTGTATTATTTTCATGAGAATACAGAGAGTAATTTTGTGCTGTGAGCCACGTTATATCCTGGTATAATGAGTTTCAAGAGAAGCTGTCCTGCTGTTTCAATTATTGGTATCTCTTGGTCTTTGAACAATAGCTTGAGTCCCTGTGGCTCGGGAAGAGAAAATGCTGAACTATTGATCCCTTGTGGAATTTTGTAAATCAGAGGTTACCGTAAATTCAGGAATCAGCATGTTATTCCTCTTTAAAATCATAGCATTCATTGGATGTTAAATAGGTTCTTAGCTATCTGTACTTGTATTTTTTGCTTGCGTTTTATGTTGTTAGTCCAGATGCTGTCAATAAAAAAATCAAACACAATTGTAAGATGTGTTTGTTAATTGTAAGATGCAATTCAGAATATTGTGTACAGTTTTGAACACTACGTTACAAAACAAATATATTGCAGCTCTGGAGTCGGTCCACAAAAGACCAGCCAAGCTTAAATAAATATCATACAGTTAAAGTTGTCTTACACAGCGAAGGCTACAAGAGGTCCTGATTCAAGTACTCATAATCTTCAAGGACAGAAAAGACTGATTTCCCTCCTTTCTTTTGTAACCTTTTGTATGTTCTTATAATGTCATTTACAGTGCCTGTAGACAGTCTACACCCCCTTGGACTTTTTCACATTTTATTGTGTTACAGCATGGAACCATGATGTATTTAACTGAGACTTTTTGCCACAAAGTACTCTATAATGTCAAATTTGAAGAAACAAAATCCAGACATTTTTCTTATTATGGTTACATTGATGTATTATGTATACATAGTGTGGGAATGATTTCCAGTTTTCACTTTTTTTGGAGTTCTGATTACTTTCCTTTTGATTTTCAATTTGTTCCATTATTTGATTTAACAGGATCACCAGGACAATGTACTTGGTGGTACAATGCAGAATGCGGTGGCGCTTTTGAATAACCTGGTTGGTCATCAAGAAACAGATGTTCATCTGCTGTATAAGGAAGGTACTGTATCTAATTCTAATTGTCTGGTTTGTTAATATATGTTCATATCAAGTTATAGTGTGACTCTGACTCACCTGCCAGGCACAAATTATAAACCTAAAATCTTATTGTGAGTCTCCACCGGGTAAAGGGAAGAAGCCTCTGTGAAACTGAGAGCTCCCATTACATACTTTGTTTGTGATTTGCCTAGTGGGTGTGTTGACATTTTGGTGTCATAGATATGAAGAGTATCCGATTTTGACTTAATATTTTGAAGGTACAGCATTTCATTTACACCTCAACACCTCTGTTCATCACTGACATTGTCAATTCTGTTGTCACTCCCCATTACTTATATAATAAATAAACGCTTTGTCTTTATTGTTGGTTTAGCAACACCAGTAATTAAAATGTCTGCTTCTACTTTGTGAAAACATTCTTGTTTTGTACCTCTTTTAAGCAAAGGCTTAAAGTTTGGAGTTTAATTTGTTTACTTGGAAAAATGTGTCAGCTTGTCACATGTAAGTATTGCATCCCATTAAGAGTGGGCAAAGGCCAGATTAAGATAAAGCTGCCTTCCGAATTAAGCAGAATACAACCCATGGTTCAATTTCTCTGGAAACCTGCATGCTGCAAAATGAAAGGGAACCTATCTCTAAAATGTGCCCACTAACCAGAAGAGGCCGTTTTTAACTGAGGGTTTCTTCACTCAGGAAATCAAACACAGAACAGCAAGCTCTCTTACAGAGGTTCAAATACTTGGCTCAAACCTGGTCTTCTCAGATGGTCTGGACAAGGACCTCTAGCCTGGCACATGCTTTATGTTCTGTTCCTCTCGTATCGTGTTCTCTTCTCCTCTCTGTCTTTTATCCGACGCGTCTGACACTCTTGATCATTCACGCAGAACTTCATTAACTAAGGTATATCAGAAGATCCTTTTGATCAGTGTGTCTCACACCCAGCACAGCTCAGTAAAGATGCCTTGGTTTGAAGCTCTAACAAGTGGAAATGCTGACACTAGCTAGGCGTTTTACCTATTGTCTCTGGATTTTTTTAGACACATCCATAGTCACCTACCATAATCTGTAACAATGTCATTACATAGCAGACATCAATTAATTTCTCTTCGTTAGACTTGTGTCAAGCCCACACTGGTGCTGTGATTCAGATTTGTTCATTAAATAATGTAACATCTCCACATAAAAAGCAATAAGAAAATTCTTATATATATCTATATTTTGGTTTACTTTTGGCAAATTGGGAAAGTAGATTAATTAAAAAAAACTTCATTCAAAATCCCTAAAGTAATTTTACAAGCTCTCTTTCAAACATAGACTGGAGACAGTGACCACTTGGTGAATCTTGACCAGCTGTAGTCATGTAGTGTGACTCAGAAGTACGTCTGTACAGGTTCTTGTCACGGTCACCGTCCGCTCAGGCATAGCTGCTCATTTCTTTGTCTTGACACGAATAGAGCATGCTGTCAGTGTCTTCTGATTTTGTTCATGGCTTGCATTTAAATGCTACAAGCTGAAGGGGGCTGTAGTGTGGCATTATGTGCAGTAGCTAGCTGTAGATCTGCTGCTTTTACCATGCACTACACCTCCCTGTCCTCAAAAGCATGTGATTTGCTAATAATTACCAATAATTCATGCTGGTTTTTGTCCTGTGGCCTTGTTTTTCTTATCTGCAGCACATAAGACCCTTTTCTCAGCTGTTACTTCTCCTTTAAATGAAGGTTTTGTTTCCTGTAATTGTGGGTTGTGTTACAAGATAGAACTGTATTGTTGCTTCTCTTAAATTTTCATAATCTGCCTTTACTGACAATGTACTAGAGTTCAGTTGCAACATGGTTTCGTGGAGAGTTTTATATGTGGGTAGTCTTCCGACATTTTTCACTCTACAGGGCTGAGTGAGTCCCTGCTTTTGCTTTCTTTTATCTCTGCACTTCACTTTGTTAATGCAGCTCTCCAGCTCCTGGCTGTTGATGTCCTTAGGTGCCATGGACAGTCTGCCACAGAGCATACAGTGTCCTTGCCTGCAATCTGCGCATTGGGGGTGACTTTGTAATTAGCACCCAGGGTTTCCTGTTTGCCTTCTTCAATTATTGATTTACTTTACATTGTCTTAGGATACCTGTCTAGCAAAGCTTAATCTGTTTACTAATCTATTAAATAATGTATTCCATTGCAGTCTGTTGACAGTTAGGTTTCCAGTTTCTGTAACAGTTGGCTGATTCACATTATCAGTGTTGAGTGTACCAAGACATACCATTGCACTTACTACAACATCAAGACACTCTCAGTACATGTTCCTATCAGGGCTAGTCAGTGGCATGTCTGTTGGTTTGACATTTAACAAGCCTGTATGAAAACGCATGTCTTAAAATAGCCTCATGGAATATAACTGAGTGCCCCATGAGTTTGTGTTAAGATACACATAGTTTAAATCCATTGCACAGGTTCCAATATCCCCAATATTCTTTTATGTGAAACGTATGCTACACTAACAGGGGAATGCCATTTTCACCTCTGAAGTAAATGTGCACAAGATATGCAAACAATCTGTCACCATCTGTGTGTGATACATGATCCCTGGAGGGTTTGGAATAGTTTAGCTCTATACTGAGTTTAAAAAAAGAGGCTAATTTATATGTGCATTGTCACAGAATGAAAGGAGCTCTTTCTTATTTACTGGAGGATAAAACAATAAGCTGGTAGATACCAATCACTCCTGAAGGATTAAATTCTGTTGTGATATTAAGACATTTCCAGGGAGACGTAACTCACTGCCTTCAGTGAATTGTATACATTCCATATTGGACACAAACACAATTTCATTTGTTTATAGACTGTCCTAATGATTTATAAAAAAGTAAAAAGCCTTTACTTACAAACTCCAGTGTTTTACGGATGCCCGGTGGTGTGGGAAATAGGAGTTTGTACCAGGCTAGCCATGACACCTGCTTTCTGACCTGAATGCTCTTGAACATCATTTCTGCTTGCATCCCCTGTTCCTTGTATTGGTATTGATTTTAAAGATGTCCTCTGGATTGGCTTAGTTAATACTTCTCAAAATTGTGAATGTTCCCCGTCCAGGCTAAAAACACTCACTTCTTTTAATCATATTGAGAATAACATCACTTTAAGGTGAGGAATTAACCTTGTTACTCCTTTTTTGCCTCTGTAGCATCTGTATCCCTGAAGTGCTGTGTTGACTTTAATAAACACCTGGCAACTTGCATGTAACACGTAGTATCTTGAAATTATCCACACTAGATTTCATTTGCCAGGTGTCTTCCCAGATATGAGTAATGTCCTGTTGTATCATTTGTGTTACTGAAACAGCATTTGCAACTTCAGCTACTTTTGTATCATCTGCAAATTCGCCAGATTTGCTAACTCTATCAATCTAAGACAGTGAGTTAATTTGGGAAGCATAAACGTCATAATACTGATCCCTGTAGTTCTGTGCTAATGACCTCAATCTCCTTCATGGTAACTGTCCTTATTAGTACCTTGAATTTAAAACATAAGGTAGGTCATAAATAAGAGAAAGGTTATTGTGAGATCAGGTTACGAGTAAGGGGCCTGTCGAGCCCATTTGGTAGTTGTCTTCCCTGTTCAGAACTGAATAGGCTCAGTTCTTTCAGCTTGTCAGTGTGACACTCCTTTATATCCCAGAATGCATCTGGCTGTTCTCTGGGTGGATTCTAGAACAGCCAAAACCCTTGTTTACATTCAATGACATCAACTAGGTATTTGCTTATATACCTTGAATTTTGAATTTTATCTAAAACTTTTTAAATTTTATTTCCTTCCTCTCCAGTGTTGGCTTATCCTCATCAGATGCAAACCTGACTTATTTGCTAACTATCCCAGAATCTAGATGACTATACTGGTATCCTGTAAATTAGGAAGAGCAGTGGTCCTAGTACAGATCCTTGTAGTACTCCATTAATTGTCACCCCAATTTCAGCATTATCTGTACTCTGTTTCTGTTAACCAGTTCTTAATTCACATGCATTTCCCTGAATCAAGCCATTTCATTTGTGTGTATTCTGCTTGTTCAGAGAACTCTAAACTGGTTGATTAGGCAAGACATGCTTTTTCTAAATCCATGTTGACTATTCTATAGGGTAATATTTCCCTATAGGTGATCCTCTGGTATTAGCTAGTTTGTAATCTTTGCAAATACATTACAGATATACCCCCATGAGCCAACTCAGGGTAAACAATGACACCGGTATTTGCTTCTGTGATCTCATTTGCTTAAAAGAAAACAGAGCATTCCCAAAATCTTAATCTGGTTTTCAGTTTATTTTCAGTTTTTAAGTGCTTTTTTTTTCTTGAGGAGGTGTTAGTGTTATGTTTAGGGGATGTGTTTAGTATTATATTTTGCTGTTTGTGTCTGTGCTTGAGGTAAAAGCAAAACTGGTTCACTGTATTTGAGACGTTTCATTTTTTTTTTAGTTAGTTTGAGAGATCATATCTTTGTTCACAGGAATGAGCATAGAAAATTAAAGTATCACTATAACTCATTTCATTACACACATGTCAAGAACAAAGGTCAGAATGTAGACTTAATATCCTATATGTATTATTAATATGCTTTTGTGTGTTTTTTTCTGCTCGGAAATGTCTTTGTTTTGTACAAGCTAATTTAACAAGTGTAGTTTTGTGCTTGCCAAGCATGCCCCTATAATTTGTCAAGTGCCATTCACTTTTCATTTCCTCCATACATTGAAATCATTTAAATAGTACTGCTTGTAGTTTCCTTGATTGGTTAAGGGCTTGGATGGCTTCCCTGGTGTGTTTAAACAGTGGTTTAACAGTGGTTATGAGTGGGTCTGTAAAATCTCACCACGCCGCTTTGTCAGATATAAATTCCATCGTGCTGAAGGGCCGATGTGAAGGTGGCAGTTTGTTCTCTTCCCCCTGCATTCCTCTGTCACACTCATTACCACCAGCCGTTTGTGTGCTATTTGGAAAGAGTCAGCATGATTATGTGTGAATTGGATCTTTTCTTCTAGGAAACTGTTAATCCAACACTAAAAAACCCCATCAATAATTCGTGCTATCTCCAGCTGTTATGGTTCGTATTGTCTCTCTTGGGTAACTGTGAAAGAAATGGGTTGTTTAATTGATTCTTTTAGGTGTGACTGAAACTCTTAGAGGTGTATATGTGCGTGTGCCGTGTGAGTTAATCTGAATATAATAGAACCCATGAGAGAAGTGAGAGTGTGTGAGGAGAATTTTAGAATTTTGTACAATTGCACCCCCAAAGATAGTCAAAAAGATAAGAAAACAGGCTGAAAAAAATAACACCACTCCTTACTAGTGGGCTCATTCGCCTAAAAGCAAACAGTGTTCACACAGTCATCACAAGCTGTGAGAAGCAGAACAACTTGAGGTATCTTATGGTCTCTGTCAAGTTTCAGTGCATTTTATAATAAAGAGTAAATAAACAATAACTAACAACATTAAATAGTCTTTTTCATGAAAATATAGGTAACCTTTACTCGTAATTGGTTGTAAAATTTCAGAAGCTTAGATATACGAACTGTAGAGCTTTCTTATTAATAAAATTATAATATGTAATTTTGAATGTAACATGGTCATTGCAGTAGGAGCTCATTTGCTGTGATACTGAGCAGTGGGTTTGGTGCAGTGTTGGGAACTACTTCAGTATAGTTGCCATTACTTCTAGATTAGTAAGTTTCCATTTGTTATTATGGTAGTTTTCTTCCAGCTCTCTGTTGCTCTGCCATCTGCTTGGTTTCACATTTGACACGTCTCTCTTAATGTCTCTGGGTCTTGCTCATCAGGAAATATTTTTGCCAAACTAGTTTAGTTTAGCTTGCTGCTATTTACGTCCTCCATGTGCTGGTTGGTATATTGTGTATTGTATTGGAATAAATTTTAGGATTTATAATGATTGTTTTGTGTTTAAAACATGCTTTATTTTTTTTCTTGAAGAACACATACTGTACTGTTAATTTTTTAAGGACTTGAAAGAACTGACACTAAGACTTTCCAGTCACAGAAACCTAGAAAGAATAATGGATGTTGAAATGTGTTTGAATAGTAGAAATTATCGGCTTTTGGCTGCAATGTGCTTAATAGCCCGAATCCTTTAGTAATCATCACACGGTTCGTGAGAGAGCAGTATGTGACATGTATGTACAGACTGGCCAAGAAAGGCAGAGGGAACAGCCGTAAATCACAGCCTTTCAAGTGACTCCAGCTACATTGAGTGATGGGTTTGTGAAAAGCTTGTTTTACTCGACTGAATTCACATATGAGGAACATTTTATTTTGTCTTTGAACCCATTCAGTTTGCTTGACATTAGGTTTGTGATCATTTTCTCATGTTCTTAGAAAGCCTGATTTACCTTCAATTTCTGTTGACCTTTTGAGAAAAAAAAACGATAATATTATTAGTTTTAATTTATGAATTAATATTACTGATACTGCATACTTTTTTATACAACTTTATTTTAGGTACCTTTATATGATATCAAAACAGTAGGGCTTTTGCTGTTTTTTTGTTCTTTTTTTTTAAATGAGGCAAATTCATAATTAATTAATTGTGTTGTCTTCCTTTTTTTAAAGAACCAAATGTATTGAAAATTCATTTCTGCAAAGCTGATGTTTTCTTAGCATTGCAGCTCTGCAGTTATTTCTGGAAATCTTCATCTTGAGCCAATGTCATTGAAAGTCTTGTATTCCCTGTATTTTGTGTTTAATTCCCTGGTAATCTGAGCTGTGACACCTCTCTCGACCCATTTATTAAAGATTTGTGAAAATATTTCCAGAAATCGGTGTTATTTTATAAATAATACAACAGAAAAGCACTGATCAGAATGGTCTTTTCCGAGCTGGAGTGATTGGAAGGTTTGGAAGTGCAGCTCGTGCAACACTCATTGCCTTCTAGAGAATCCGTGCTGGGGTGCAGTTGGAGAAGAGGGCTGGTAATCACAAGTATTGCTTTTATGTTAACTCAGGGTGAGCTGCAGAAAGTAAATCGATATAGCTTTGCAGCCCAAGGCACTGTTTACCACCAGCTGAAAGTCTTCAGGGTCTGGAGGTCTTTTGTCGATCCTTGCTGGGGTATTTAAGATACCTGGGCAATAGAGTCATCGTACACAAAGATTCAAAGTCTGGCACACTCACATTACCTGTGATTACAGAGCTAATTTTATGAGCCACACATTTTGCCTGGTGAAGTGGGTTGCGTTTTATAAAAAGATGAATGAGGTCGAAGGCTGTTGAGCAACATTACAAAAATGCCATTGAAGTTTTACTAGAGTCATTTACATTACAATTACAATTAAAGACCCGTGCTGACTTATTAGTTTACTTCATTTACTTTTTTAAAATATTAAATTCTATAAAGAAAATAGTTTCTAAAGATGTTTCCACCAGAATTCACACATTATAATGGCAATAGTGGCTGGATGTGACTGGCTGAGGACAGGAGGATGAGAAGATAGAGAGATAATATTATACATTCAGAATTATAAGATTGTCAATCTTTAAGGTAAATAGTTTAAACTTAACACAGCTAAACTGGAAAAAGCAAAGGTTTAGTCTTAATCTTTTGTGGATAATATATTTCAAGCCCTTTGTCATTTAAGCAAGTAGAAAATACTCTCCAAAGTCATTGTTCATGTAAGATTGTGTTATTATTTTCATATTCTGTGTGTTGTATGCAAATGTTGTGTTGTGATGGTTTAAAAAACCAAGGGTTGTCTTTCCTAGAAAAGTTTCTTGGCTAAAATATATTCAAAATTCAGGTGATATAAGGAAGAAAATAGTATTTGCGCTACTACCACATTGTCTGCTGTCTGAAGGAGGGGTGTTTTTAATAATGACTAAAGACAGGCTAATGCATACTGATGGGAATACTGTAAGCAGCCATCTATGCAAAAGGTGGAGAGAACATATCCAGGTATTTTTAGTTTTCATTTAGTGAATAAGGAGTTGTGGAGATAATATTCAGAAAGTATCATCCAAGTTGATTGATCTGGATTTAGAACTTACTAATGTTTAGAAGTCAGAGAATACTGATACGAGCACAGAGCTCCTGATGGGATAATTTACTTAGTGTAAAACAGGATTTATAGTAGGACCAGTACCAAATTGACAGTTGTCATCTTAACTGGTTAAGTAAATGTATTGAATTATCAGATGAAATCTACTGTAGAAGCAATAAAAGAAGTTCATAAAGATTTAGATACTACCCATGACTGTGGAGGCACCTGGCAAATTAAATGTATTAAAAACAAGTACAAAGCTTACAATCATGTCTGTTTTAATTACAAGATGGATGGTACTGATCGTAAAGCATCATCCTATGAAAAAGTAGCAGGTTTCTATGTGGGCTCATTTTTTTCCTTTTCTAAATAATTTACGAAGTAATGAGTAGGCTACACTCGAGGGTCTACAGTAGAAAACGTACAATATGAATGGAAGTTATGCTAAATTGTATAAAGCAGTCACCATTTTAACTTTTATGGGACATTCTGAGCATCATGTTTAAAAAAGTCAGCCATGGAAGAGCTACCAGATTCATTCCTGTTTGTAAAGGTGTCTTTTAAAGATTAAAAGACCCTCATCTTGTCTCATCATTCTGTCTTGAACAGAGGAGATTATGAGGGGATTTGACACAAGCTTTCAAAATACTGAAAGATGATAACAGAATCAGTTCACTGAACAACTTCAGAATCGATAGTGAAACCAGTACCTGGGGACACAAATGAAAATTATAAGGTAGTGCTTTTAGGTCTTAGAGTAGCCCTAAAGAAGAGGTATTCTTTACACACACTGAGCGTGAGGTGTCTGAAAAGAAATACCCAATCATGTTGTCAGAGGTGATTCCCTGGGATCTTTCAAGAACTTGATTGATGAGATCCTAGATTAATCAAGTACATTTATAGTACAGTTAATTGATTATGTTTTATATTTATAGAGCTCCAGTTTAGTTTTACTTTGCAAGCAAAGTGATACACAAAGAGAATTGCCTGCGATATCATGAAGACTTCAAACTGGTATCCCACTGGTGTGTACCTTGAGCTGCTTGAGTCAATAGGTTATGTAAGCTGACATTATGTTGGATAAAATTGTTCACCGACAGTGACAGACCAGTTTTCTACCTTTAATATTGCACATTTGTATTATGCAAGTCTGCCTTTCAGAATAATTTATATGACATAAAGAAAGTTGTCTGTGTGGCAAATAGATGATGTGATGTTTAATGACACAAAAATCTCTCCTGCATTATTTATGGATCATGTTTTTTCTTTCTTGTCTTCTCCAGGTCTGGTAGAACTTATCTGTAATGTTTTCATTGAGACAGCAGTTCTCCACATGGAGTGTGACGATAAGCACAGCATGAAGAATGGAAACAATCTTCTGCTCTCATTACTTGATATTTTACACAGTATGCTGAGATACACTTCCAGTGTTGTACGAATGGCTCTGCAGGTACTGCACTATCAAAGTTGCTTTTGAATTTCTTTTTTCTTTCACTTTATCTTTTCCCCACTGCTCCATTTCCACGTGTGGTGAGTCAGGTGAGAGAGTACTGAAGCAGCAATTGCATCACTCTTTACAAATGAATCTTCTGTCTAAGAGTGACAAAGAAGTCAGTTTTTACTTCCTGAAATACACCTCAGTTTTTTTTAGAAAGAGACATCATGGATTGGAATAAAGTGAATGGATCATAGAAGGATTTATTAAGGTATTGCAGAATTTGGACCGTATATACTTTTGTTCCAGTAACCTACCCTTGTGGACTTAACATGGTTGATGCATGAAGCGTCATATTTTTTCTTATAATTAGTTCACAAAATCCTTTAATTCGGAATGCCAGTGACTGTTTATTTGCATGGTGTGGATACAATTGTCTTGTGTGGTTGGATCTCCCAGCAGGTGACTTCCCACATGTGTAATGTGACTATAGTGTGAGTCATTCAGTAAGAGTATATTTCATGTGATCTCTTGCCTGTGTTTTTTTCAATATTACTTATGCTCATAATAAGTGCCAATGTGTGTGGAATGCATCCAGCAGTAACTCTGGTGTGTTATAGTCAATTTCATATTTTACAGTTACACAGTTAAAGTGCTCTTTGGAAATTGAGAGGTTGCCTCCAGGCGTGCAACAGTGACAAGTAATTGCCTGTGAGCATTCTTGCACAGAGCTTTCAGTTTTTACAATCTTGAGGGTAATGTTCCAAGTCTTTGGAGACTTCTCTCTAATGTTCAGTAAACCTTTTGAAATATATAACCTACAAAAATGTAGGACTTTTGGAATGTTAATAATAACGAATATAAAGAGTATGGTACATTGTTTTTTTTTATGGACTCAACTCAGAACCAAACAATAAACCTCTGTTTGGAATTTGCTCTTGGTAACTTAACCCAGTTCTCGCATTCCCATTGTGATCTAGGTGATCTCAACATGTACGTACTCTCCAAAGAGCTGCACGTTTATGACGGATCACCTTTTTCAGACTTACACTCCATTTAGCAAATAGGTGTTAAGAATGGTTGTTATAATGGAAGACGGGGTACATTTCTCCCATCTGTAGTACTGATAGGAATCGGCTCCTGGTGATTCCTGGCCGAAGAGGGTGAGGAACACATTCTTTACTGAGACTGTCATATCTGTGATGGCTTACGGTACCACTGAACAGGCAGGCAGAGGTGTCCCATGTTCATATATGTTTATAGATATGTTGGGCTAAATTATTTTAACAGGTTGCACCACATCAAAATATTGCCAATCACATAATGCTAAAAGTCTGCGGGATCTCCTGACCAAACTTAATAAAGAATAAGAATTAAAGAATCATTATATTCACAATACTTTTTTAAACAACAAATATTTATACTATCTGAAAAGGAGATGTAGTAGAGATGTTTTTTTCTGTCTTTTTTGCTGGGAATGATGAGACCAGTGGTTTCATCTTATATACAGTATATAATTCACCCACATGTTACCTTCCTGTTACAGCTGCCCTGAAACTGGCTCACCGGCATGAGTGGATCCCTGATCTCATCCCAGTGCAGGTGCAGGGGGAAGAAACAGTAGTGAGATGACAAAGACAGATTCACTCGGCAGCAGTATTTGCTGGCGGTTGTCAGCTAGGTTACAGCAGGCCCGTATTATGTGCAAGGCAGACGAACAAGGTGTATATTTGATGCGCAAGATTTGCAACATCTTTATATTGTCATTTTTCTGTAACATTTACTTTTGATACAATGGATGATGAAACATATTTTGGCAACTATACGTTTTGGTGTTTTTTTTTTTAAACATTACATATTGGTGAAAGTCAGTAAGGAAGTTAGTTATTTCAAAATGATTTAATCTGTTTAACAGTTCTATAAAAACAGTCTTGTCAGTCTTATTTTTCATTATAGAAGAAGTCAATGTTTTCAGTAAAATGAAAGCATCTAAACAATATTTTGCCTAATTTGAGTACTAATTTGTAGTAATAAACTGTTTCTTATAGAAGTTCCATTAATTGAATATTCCATAAAAGGAAACATTACTGTTATTAAGCTAGGCCTAATATTTACGTTTCTGTTTTTTTACTTCTATATAAAAATGCTGAGCTAGATATCATGGTCATGTTTTATTGCATCATGTAGCACATGATTATCCTTCTTTTTTAAAGGACTTTCATGATTTCCAGTTAGGGATGGTTTCTGACCCACTGTGTCAAGGATGTATTGGGTTTATGACAAAGGCTTGGATTTAGAATCCATAAGGTTTCACACTCCTGGGACACCCTTAGCTTCCCACTGGTACTCATTATCGCGTTTGACATCTTTTGTACACCTTTGAGCAGCCCTGCATACATATTTATATGCAGATATTGGAAGATGAAGAATACATAAAGGGAATAAGTTTGCAGAGAAAATTGCACCACTCATTAAAAAGGTCTCTCTAACCCCAAAACATTTTGCTTCTGGATAATAATAATGCATGTTATTTTTTCCATGACTTTTTCTTCCAGGATATTTCACTTGGATCTACTCAGCATTAATATTTTCAAAGGACAAATAAATAAACTGCAGAGAAATGCTACATGCCTAATAGTGTATTAAAAAAGAACCTCTTCAGTCTTCTTAAAAATTCTAAACTGCATTCTTACTTTATAACTACTAGAGTTATTATATCATATAGTAGCTGATTGTTAAAATCTTATCCGCAGGCTAATCCACAGCAGACAAATAGATGAACTCAAGCTTTAGCCATAAAATGTATGTGAAGTACGTCAATGTCAGCAATAAAACTTCACAGTATCAAACCATGACAATGCAGTATTGTTTTCATATAGTGTTTTCTTATTCCTGCCTAAATGTAAAATGCTTATTTTTATAAAGCATTTTTTTCATACCTATGTTTATAGTTTTTCCAATTAAAAATGGACTTGGAGAAGCATTTGAGCGGGTCAGTAATCTGAGTCTGGCAAAGAACACAAGGACTCTGTGGTGATAATGTTAATGGATTGTTCACACACATTTCAGTCACAGAAGGGTTCCTGATAAGCAATTGCCTCATTATAATGGGTCATCCTCTGGCTGGGAAAAGGACATTTCTGTTTTCTCTTTCACTGACCTGCTGGTTTTCATTTGTAGCTCCAAGTTGAATTCACCTCCAGACTTCTTTTAATTTTGACTGCTCTCATTAAGGCTCAGAAATCGGACACAGGAGGGGACACCCAGGCTGCAGAGGACCTCCTGCTTATCAATAAGCCCCTGACGGACTTAATTAGCCTGCTCATTCAGCTGGTAAGATGCACTGTCTTTAGAAATAAAGTGGAATGTTGCGGGAGCTGAAGTTGTTCTGTTCAATTTTAATGTACCGCTGCTTTCAAAGTTTCCATAATTTATAGAAAATCTGTTGAATGGGCAAGTAAAACCTTCTTTCATTTCCATCAGTTTAGCTGAGAGAAACCCTCAGTCAAAGGATGTTTCATTGGATTTAAACCAGAACCTACCTTTTATCTGTCCAGGCATTTATTAGTTTTTCTCTAGTATATTTCTAGTAAATAGGGGTCTAATTTGTCCCCTATTTGCTAATTTTATTTTCAAGATTTATTGGTCCCTATTTTATTTATTTGGAAATGCCACAAGTAAGCCCAAAATCGTAAATTTCCATTACAAGTAGTATGTAATGTAAAGAGACACTTGCAACACAAGCTGTGAGGTGGTCTGTTTCTCCCTCAGGATACACATATTCTTGATGACCATGCAACTCAAGCCACATTTGATACATAAGGCCAGTCTTCCAGTTTCAGATGTATGTGTCTGTCTTCTGCATCATGTACAGTACAACAAGGCTGTTTACTTCATTGTGACAGCACTGCGTACAGTGACATGCACAAATATTCACTGCCTTCCAATGATGTCCAATCTGGTGATGATATACGATGAGCACATCGATTACAAATGACGTAGACACTTTTTCAAGTGAATATTTTTTTAGCAAAACATGAATGCTCAAACTCTGTGCTTTTATGGGTGAAAGAAGTTAAATGTTGGCAAAAAATGAAAACTAAATCGGAAGAAGTGGATTGTATAGATATTCTCCCCTTTGCCATGACAGACCTAATATTGGTTGAGGTCCACAGAAGTCCACAGATAAGGAGGAGGAAACATTAAATAAAAAAAATGTTGTTGATAGCATTAATATCATTTCAGAATATTAGGTTGACAACATTTTGCTGTACGTGTGTTGCATACCTGCCAATTATCCATAAACAATTTATATTTCACTGGATTTGGGAATGGAAGTTGAATCTTGTAGTTCTTTAAGCAAAACGCAAACCTCATTTTGAAATTAATGGGGAAACAAGGGGAACACAGGGAAGGAACACATTTTTAAATGCCCTTCCAGTCTTAAATGAGCTGGAATTTTTTGATAAATATGTTCTTAACATAAAATGTAAAAAGGGCTGGTTTAGAGGAAGAAAGCTTTTCGGAACAGGGTTAATACCTTTGTTCTGTGGCCAATTTGGATTTTAGTAATGATCATAAATGAATGAAGTATTCGGTCAGATCCAGGTGAAGTCTTCATGCGGAGTTTAAACTGCAATGACATGCGTATTGAGCTCTAACAGGATCAGCCTAGACGCTGGTAAACTGATGCCACCTTTCTATAACGTTATAGGCTTTAATTCAGAGATGTCAGACTCGTTTGCCGTGATGGTTCATGTATTTCAAACTGGCAATATGTAACATACATTATCAAAACACTGGCTATCACCATTGCGTAGAATTACTTGTACGTTTTGCATTTTAGTCTTTACTTTAAAATTAAACATCTCTCTTAAAAATGCAATCGGGAGTAACTGTATCTTCACAAGATGCCCATTTAGCAACACTTGCTGATTACCTGCTTTGTATGAGTGGTATTATCAGCATTATTAACTGTAATTATTTAAAAGATAACTGTACACAATGGAAGTGTGTCTTCTCTTGAGAAGAGTACTTTCAGGTCAACTTGTTTCACAACTAGTGCAAAGGAAAGTGCAGCTATATACATCCACCGCTTAGCATACAAATATGCGATTTATAAAAACAGATGATATTGTTTATTATGTTCTTTAAAGTCTGTTCCTTGATAGGGTACTTTCAGGATTGTCCTATTCTTATTGCCATGTGTAAAAATTCAATTTTGCTATATAATAAAACCCACTGGGTACAGTTGTGTGGGCTCTGCGGGTTCAGACGGATCGAATCCTGGCCATTAGTCTGGCAGCTGCCACACAGCCCAGACTAATGGGCCCGGCGGGCCAGCGGAACCAACCTGTGGGCCACACGTTCAACACCCCTGCTCTGATAGAAGCAGATTAGCATTTTGATGTCCCCATCTGTTTGACTGATGATATGGTAAACTGTAAAGATAACCTTTGTAGAGAAGGATGAGATCATCCATAGCACTGCTCACATTGCGATTTGAACAGCAGGGGGAGAATAAGAGAAGCAAGAGACAGGAAACTGTAGTTAAACTTGAGGGACATGATGTGCTGAAATAATTCAGTATTCATGACAAATAGCATTCCCAAGGGAATACAGGACTGTAACGTTTTCCAGATTATTTGGCAGTTGAAGAACAGAAAGTGCTGGAATAGTTAAAAAACTCAGAGATTAGGTGAAGTGTTCCCTTTTCGTCTCCTGCTGTATGATAATCCATATATTTTGCATTTGTTGTAAAGCCCAAGCAGTTGTAACTGCAACAGTCTGTTTCAGCACACGGAACTGTACAGAACCCTGTGCTGTCTGAAAACAGAGCATGGAAGAGCTGGCAGGATTATTACTGAGTGAACTACACTGACAGTGCATTTACAGAAGAGGAAAAAGTTGTGTTGAAGAGGATTCTGACATTGTGTTGTTTGCAGGCAGTACTGGCTGATTAGCACGATATTGCTTCCTGATTATATGAAGTCTCTGAAGAATACCATTGACACTGCAGTTAGAGACATGGAGCTGAGTGTATGAGGCAGAGAATACTTAAATATGCTAATGTAGGCAGAGTCATTAGGTAATATGTTAAAATGCTAATTTCTATACACTGTAGAGTTTATAAATACTCTCTATGTATATACCTTGTTGGTGATTATTATACAGATATTGGATGTGCTTTTATTCAGAACCTCTTACTCCCAATGGGTCAACACTGTGCAGCTATCATGACTAGTAAGACACCAGAAATTAATCCATATTCTGATTTTGAACAGTAGTTCATAGCATACACTACACAGAATAGGATAGCGTTAGCACTAGTAGTTATGTGAACATTTGGCATCAAAGTGTGATTTCCACATTGGAAATTGTCTCATGACCTATATAAAGCTTTTATCAAGAAGATGCCAATGTCTCTTCATTGTGATCTTTGTACTCTATTGTGTTCTGTAATATATTTTGCTTCTGCTCTGTATATGCCCATAATAAACTCTCCATAAAAACATTCATTATTTGTCTGCAATAGGTGAACCAATTTCATTTCTAAATTAAAAGACTTCAAAGTAAAAACTACTAATTTGGGTACCTAATTTTAATTTAAAAAATACCTTGTTTTTCATTACGTTTTCTGGTATAAAAAAGTAATAATATGACCAAAAAATTAGTCTGTATACTGATAGCTAATGTCATGTAGGCATAAGCTTGTGTGATCTAGGATAGTCTGAATGCCTGCATTTTTTTTAAACTAAAGCTGCCATAAGGTTTGTTATTAAACTACATTGTGTATTTTTTCCCTGTTAATGTGGTACTGTTTAATTTTTTTACAAACACTGTAACTAGTTTATAACATCAGTATTTCAAATGCAAGTTAATTACTCCATGTTTACCTGTTTCTGACTCTCAACAGCTGTAGATATGCCTTGTGCATTGGAAGTGATTGACCCTCACCAGTGAATTTATTCAAGAGTTAGTCAATGAATATGAAATGGTAATAAACATCCTAAGTTCTTTTATTGGTTCATACAAAATTATGTACTCGGTCAGTCTTAGTCTTTAACACTCTTGGCCCATAATCAACCATGTCGTGATGATCATCTGTACCAAAATAAAAGTAACGATCCATGTTCAGTTGAAAACTGTATTCAAGTAAAACATTTGTTGATGATTGTGCTACTGCTATCCAGCTTTTAGAGGTTTCTTTATTTTTGGCAGTCATTAAGGACAAAACTCAGAATACTGAAATGTAATAAGATGGGTTAAGCCGTTTTCAGCTTGACGTTACTGAGCATACCAACATAGCCAAAATCCCATTTTCTCAGTGCTCGAATGCTTTGCACAGTTTTGTGCAAGCGAAGGAGCTGGGCTCACAGGTGCTGCTTGGAGGTGGCTTTGCGAACTGCACAGATGGTATTCAACTGCAGACCCCTCCGGGACATTCTTTAAATGTATTACAAAGGACTCAATGCAATTATAGATGTCAGCGCTCTCCCGCTGGTGATGCATTAAGAAGGTAAAATGTTTACCTTCACTTAACGTCCAGAGCATGCTCAGCCTTCCACTTCCACATGCTGTAGTCCCGGACTCTGGGGGACGTGAGCGTTACTGGCAGGTGGACACATGTTACAGGGGAGCACGCTGAAATTAACAGTACAGCAGCATCACTGGATATCAACTATGTCAGGAGCTTGATGGATTTATATACTATATAAAGTATCTCTAAGATCTTTGCACACTAGGATGGTGCAGTTTTCACCCCGACTTCTTAATAAACTTGCTCAAGCTGTGTCAGCTTAGTTGGTGATAGATGATGGAGAGCAATTTCTCACGAAAGTGTTATCTGACGGAGTCAAGTCAGGACTTTGTCTGGGCCACTCAGGGACATTCACTTTCCTCTTCTTCATCCACTGCGGTGTACCACTGGCCCTGTGCTCTGGGTCATTCTCCCGATGACAGGAGACATCTTCTCCCAGTCGCAGGCTTTCGCAGACTGAAACAAGTTTTTATCTGTTTTTTGCCTGTATTTTGCTCCATCCATTTTCACCTCAGACAAACCTGACAAACGTCCTGGTCCCTGCTGCTGAGAAATTGTGTGATTTATCAGTGGACTTCTGTGGACCTCAACCAATATTACGTCTGTCATGGCAAAGGGGAGAATATCTATACAATTCACTTCTTCCGATTTAGTTTTCATTTTTTGGGTATTTTTTGCTGACATTTAATTTCTTTCAACCGTAAAAGTTTTAGGGCTGAGCATTGACGTTTTGATTCAAAATTTTAATTTGAAAATGTGTGTACATCATTTCTAATTTAGCATAATGGGACTTTATTGGAAGGTTGTAAAACTCTGCTAAGGCAATTCAGATTGAGCAAGTTCGTAATGACTGTCCTTTAGGCTTTTCGATCACATTACATACTTGCATACACTCTGTACGTGCTGTGTGTATGAGTGGGCAGTGGTTATAAGATTTTGTACCAAGCGTATCTTAGGCCTTACTGTTCCAGCTGTACTGGGAATAGCACTGGCTACAGTTTATTAGGAAAATAATCAATACATTTGATGTTTTATACCCGTTTTGCATCAAAATAAAATTTTTGTAGCCTTATTAAAGATAAGTTGAGGATGTTATTTTTATGCAAGATTAGTATTCAAAACACGAATGCACATTATTTTAGTTCCTCCTTCAAAAAAGCTTGCCCGGTTTAGCAGTTTACTGATTTCATAATTGCGTTGTGAGGCTGGACCTGCCACTAGAGGATTACTGTAACAGAAAGGCTTACTCTGCACAGTGTGCTGGAGCATAAGAGGACCATTAAGGTTCCCTTTTTAAAGAGATGGGCACCACATGTGATTTATAATATGGTTGAATTCTTCAATTAAATGAGCCTGCAGATGTGGAACTAAGTGAGCCCAGCTTGAACAGTAGCTGTATACAGTAGTTATCCCCTAATATCGTGTTTCTGAGCAGGAAGTGAAGTTGGTAGCACTGTTAGGGGATACTTGCTAAAATTTCACATTGATTAGGCAATGAAACTGATGATCCATCTTTAAGGTAACACATTAAAATCAATGTTTATGGTTACTTTATTTGTTTTTTCAATTACTCATTTTCCTCTTTCTTAATGCTAATGCATTTGTAACATCTTTTTGCCAATGCTAAGCAATGAAGCTCATATTCAGATTTTAAACCCTTTAAGTAGGGAAAGACTATTATTCACATAACAACAATAAAAATGTCACAGAAGTTTACAAATGCTTTAAAGTGCTTTCAAGTAATATGCTTTTAGAAGCACTAATTATAGTGCACAATTTAAAAGAAGCAGCAATTTCTGGAATTGTTTTTGCTTTGTTTGCTCACTGCCTTAGAGGGGCGTTCATTAGACAGATGCTAGCATGGATTAACCCCTTTACTGTTGCTTTGCTGCCATTTGGGTCAGCTTGCTGAGGAGTGGCAGGAAACTGTTTGTGACCATGAGCCTATTATATTGTGTGAGAGGGAGGAATTAATCACTTTAATATGACATTCTGAATCTCTGTGATTGTTAATTCAAGTGACGCTAAATTAGTTTTTTTCCTTTTATGAAGTTCTGACTATGTAGCCGATTAAGCTTGACATCAGGAGTAATTACAATTAATTCCACAAAACTACCCTGAACAGAGTGTTTATTTTTTATTGTGATGATTTATTCAAAATAGCCAGAGCATAGTTGTCTGATTTTTGGTTTGATGAGGATTAATTTTAGGGCGACTAAACTAAAAATGGCCTTTAATATGAATAATACCTAATTTTAGTGTTCTAAGACATAACGTTTTCCTTATGTTAAATAATTCACCCTTCTGCTGCTGATGAAATGTCATATTTCTTCTTTAAATAGTGGAGTTCTGATGGGCTTTATTATAATTATAACTCTCCGTGTATCGATCAGCTCCTGCACTCTAGAAGGAGGGACAAGGCCTGTGAACACTCCTCCGTCATGCCCTCTGACGAGCCTGATAGTAATCGATCATTGCCGTTATATTGCTGCATTACACACTTACCACTATGGAAGGTCTGATCTCAAGCCATCTTTAAGATTTTAATTCTGCTCCATATTTACTGAGGAGCCGTGGCAGCTCAGAGGGCAAGGGCGTCCAGCTCCTGACTGGAAGGTCCCGGGTTCAATCCCGGTAGGGGCGAGCGATGGAGCTCTGATTCCTCCCAGAGGGCCCCCAGGTCCACTCAGTCTGCTGTCCACATGAGCACCAGTACTGGGGGTTAATCCTTCTGGGGTAATGGCCGGCGGAGCGTGGTGCTGACCACATCACCTCCACCTCCAGCGTCGGATGAGACACACGCTGGCCCCTGCCCCCCATTCCCCAAAGGGGACCTACCTACCTACAAATTTAGGTGAATTACAACCCTGAAGTATTGTTATCTTTCACTTAATTTGTTGGAATTGATTCTTGCTGTGTAACCTATTTCATGATGTTGAATTCTAAGCTTTATTAATTTTGTTTTCACTTTGCACTCTTTACATTCAAGTTATTATACATTGAAAGTCTATTGCCATGCATAAAAGCATTGTGCTAACAGATTACAGTACTTATAATAAAAGTGTCTCGGTGACATTTTGTTTTCATTGGATTGTAGGTACAGGAGTAAAATGAACCATCTTCATTCTAAAATATTATCCTCTAGATTCATCCCTACTTAAAACCTGTGTTCAAAGCTGCAGGCATCAAATTACTCCTGCACTTCTTCCATAAAAAGCAAAAGATTATTGTCCATTGAGACCCATGTTAGCCCTCCCTGTGTGCTGCAAATATCCGATTTTACAGGAACTGTTGTTCTGGTAGCTGGAAACAGGTGATTCCTGTCGAAGCTTCAGGCAGGGAAAACTTCAGAAATAAAGAATATGACTAATTTGATTGCTTGGGATGTTGTTTCTGTTTCCTCTGCCAGCTGCCAAGTGGTGACCTTGAGGTATACGAGGGTGTGATTCAGTGCCTCTCTCTATTAGTTCAGCTGTACGGAGGAGACAACCCTGATAGCATGTCCCCAGAAAGCATTCACAGCTTCACAGAGACGTTAAAGACACAGCAGGACCCAAAACAACAGAAGCTACTCCTCAGGATTATTAAGCGTTTGGTAAGTAATTGGAGGCAAATGTGGCCATTTATCACCGGCATTGCTTGGTGATTTGTTTTCCCAATATCACATCAAAATCCAATAAAATGAATGCTGTCTGCTCAAATAAATATCTGTTATTAGTACTCGATATGCTGTGGAATTGGGTTTCTCAGAAATGTGAATAATGTCAGCAGCTATGGGGCAGGTTTTTTCATAAGCACACATTGTTGGCTGTAGTAAATTGGTGCAGCCATAAGTGTTTTGAAGGCAGCAAGCCTTAAAGCTACTTGCTCTTTTGTTCATTTTGTAGTGTTTCAGTGTTTCTGAGATACCAGGAGCCTCTCTAAAAACAATAGGATTTTGTGTCTTTGAAAAGAATGTCTTGGTAGGAGACCATCTTGTTGTAATGAGGGGGATTTAAAATCAATTTCCAATGTAGGTGAGTAGCTGTATTTTTAAAACAAATCATGAATACAATAAGAATTAAAAATAAAAACAAATTCTCTTCTGAGCTAAATGTTAATTGCAGAACTTTATGCCCTAAGTATTAATTGCTTTTCGATTATATAAATTATTTGATTTTGATGACAAAGAGGTTTTGTCTTTCTGTAGCGATAAATTATACGTTCTGACATGGTCCGTCTCTGGATGTTGTAATTACGTTTATTTTCTTGATGGTTGTGGAGCAGGTGTATTTTATAATGTGTTATAAGGTAGATTTAAGTAGTCATTACAGTTAAGAGAGCTGGCAGATCACAAACGTAATTTCAGGTGGTACTTGGTACATTAAGAAAGCATTGCATATGTACAGTATAATTGAACATTTCTTCTTGCATAGTGGGATTCTGCCTGTTAAAGAGAATGAGGTCCATTTTTCTGTCCACACTGAAAGCCGAACGTGTTACACCCTTCTGTACAAAAAAGTCCCCAATAGGATAGTGATTCTCTTTGAAATTTACATCACCTGGAATATTTTGAAAATCTGGAAAAGGCACACTGGTCTTACACAGTACATCTTAAATCTTGATCTTATATCTTATATATATACCTTATTCTGGTAGTATGGTATAAATCACAGTACCTTTGTCTTTTACATAATCTTCTCCCTCTTTCCGTTTGGTGTTTGTATCGTCTTTTAGATATTAATATGGATATACTGTGTATTAGAAGATGCACTCTTCCAGGGTAGGCACTGGATTATGAACATGAGGGTTAATTCATTCATTCTGCCTTTTGTGCGCAAGTAAAGGCAAAGCTAGTGGCCACAGATAGCTGTCTCACTCCCATCAGCGCTCATCAGTGTGAGTTTATAAAAAGGAACAGTCACCCATGCTAGGAAGGGCATTAAGAGAAGCAGCCGCAATTATGATCAAGTTATCAACCATTCTGTACAATGGCCCAGTAAAAGGTTCCCGTTGACTCTAACGTCGTGGCTGTTGAGTTTTCCTCTGTATTTTGTGCTGTGGGGAGAAGGCTGATGTGCGGGACCTCATAACACCCATGACTGCTGGTATCTGGTGCACTTCAGGAGGCAGTAGCAGACCTGGCTCATGTGTCAGGTAGATAACCTTCAACGATTTACAGGTTAAAAAAATACACAGACAATGAACAATAACGATGTATAAATCAGGCTTGTTATACCAGATGTATACATCGCACAATGATTTGAATGTGATGCTTCATTAATCAGCACTCACTTCCATTTTTTTTTGTGAAACTTTTTTTTTGTAAATTACAATGATTACAGGCTTACATTTAATTCTTCATACAGTATTTTGGTAAATCTATTGGTTCTATGTGTTTTTGCTGTTCAACTGTTCAGATATCTTAAATTAAGAATGTTGTAGTATATATGGGGAAATTTGGAATGGAGGTGATTGTTGCCAACAGAAGATGATACCTATTTGGGATTATTTGTAGTGCTATAATAGGGGTCTGCCTAAAAGTGGTAACCCTAGTTTTCCCTAATTATATAAAACCTATTAGCCAGTTGTTCTGTAAATTGGAGATTCTCAAAGGACCCTAAGATGGAGAGGTCCTTAAAATTATGGAGTTGCCTAGCAACCTTGTACTATTACATTCCAGCCTGTGTGATAACATGGTATACGAGTGACATCCTATTAGCCTGAGATAAAATTCTGCAGCAATAATTTATTTTAAAAGGGGGTATTCTATAATGGAACGAGTGTCACATATTCAAATGCATTATGCTTATTATTTCATTTTTACTCAGACTTAAATCACCCTAAATGACTTATAGGAGATGGTAGAGTAAATCCACTGGCAGAGTTTGCCATTGAAATCAGAATTATCGCCTACCAGATTCAATTTCCAGCCAAGGTTAATGTCCTATAAGTAATGAGTTTTCTTTTTTTACAGTTTGGGGATTTCATCTAAAAAACAGAACAATAGTTGTTGATAGGAACGTATGGCGTGTCTAGCTCAGTTGTTCCGTTTCTGCCTCCGTTTCAACTCAGTAGTTCCTATTAAGAAATCTTTAAGCTATTTTTCACCAAATCTGTTTGTGCAAATTTTAATGTGTTTGATTTTCATGTGACCTTAAGTAAACAGGCCTTCTTTTGTAAGAAATTATTTTGACACTAGGTGACATTTTACACTTCTGCAATTATAGTTTTGAAATTCAGCTTGTATTGTGTTAATAATAATGAATGAATCCTAGAAAGGCTTTGCCCTTCCACAGTCAGTTGAACGCAAGGAGACAGCATCACACCGGTTGAAACTTTTCTCTGCCATCTTATTTTTAAAAACCCGTCTTCAAATGGGGCCCAGGGGTCAAAGCTTTTAAATCCCCAGATCTCACACACACACCCTTTGTTATTTCCATTCCAATGTCCTGTGGCGGAGATTTGCAGTGGCTTACAGATATTCAAATGCTGTTGTTTGCAAACCCCCCTGGAACACCTCCTGCCCGGCAGGCGACTGGGGTTCCAGCAGCAGTGGTGTGTGTTAACCCCACGAGTCCCTTCGCTCAGAAGCCCACTGTCCAGAGGAGGCTGAGAGAGGCGCATTTGTACTGTATGTGTGTAAATCTCTCACCACTGATATTTGGAACAAGTGCACAAACACATTGGGATACCCTATATAAACCATAAATATTGGGTAATTTAAATATATTTTGGCCTAGTCTTAATACTATTAAATTACAGCTTTCATTTTCTAGATACATGTATACATACGTGTATCAGGTCCATTAAATATCAGTTTATTCCTTGGGAAGTTCCGACCGCCACAAGAACTTTGTCAGCCTCTTTTCTCTTGGTGTTCAGCATCTCGTCATGCCAAGCCAAAGTATCGGCACTTGCTGCTAACGTCAACCACAGTTAACATTTAAAATACTAAAAATGTAGCTTAAATATTAACGTATTATACTGTATATGGTCTCCCAAAAAATCACAAAAGATTTATACAATGTAAAAAAAAAAAGGGTAAAAGTAAGAAATAAATAACAGCTGTGAGGATGATTAGTTCACAGTTTTTGAAAGTGGTTAAGTGGGTCTGTTTCTTGCAGCAGATACAGCAGCTGTCTGTTCCGTTATTCTTTGAAACTTCTATTCCTGGTGCACTATTATTTCAAGCCCTAGGAGTGCACAGCAGTCGGCATGTCTTGCAACTGAAGGTAACAATTAGGACCAGGCTGTGCTAATAACTCCTCTGGTTATTAAAGCCATTTAAGACCTTTTACATTGAGTGCAGATTCTTTGAAGGAGTCTTTAAATGACAAGCCCCTCGTGGTGGAACTTTTTCGCTTTGAATCGTCTGCAGTCTGGGCCAGACATGACATAAAAAGTGCCTGTTTCTGCAGGCGGACGGGGAAGGATATTACAATTATCAGCATTTTCGTAACGGGAAGGAGCGCAGCAGTCTTTCGGGGTGAGCCTCCGAGACGAGCATCCTGCCGTCCTGTGTTCGCGGTCGTTTCCTTAGAACAGGCCTTGAAGAAAAGAGTGAAAAGCACAGAGCGTCGGGGGAGATGGGGAGCTGACGTGACATGTTTGTGTGATTTCCAGAACAGTCGTGGAGCTGCGTGGTGCTTTATTTTAAGCAGTTAGAAATGTGTAACCTCACGACATTTTTTTTTATTTTAATACACTCGCCGCTTTCTTGTATCACACAGAGGTGAAACTGCGAAGTCCAACAGACTAGGAAAAATAATTAATTAAAATGTATTTAAGTAGAATTGCAGGAGTGTATTTAGCTCTTTTTACATGTCAACAGATCTAATAAGAAACAATACAGTAAATGTCCTGTTGCTAACAGAAGAGTATGAGCAAAGCAACAGAGGAGGAAAAGAAAACTTACTTGTCAACATCACGGACAATTTGTACTGTCAGGTCGAGCCACCCTCACCTGAGCAGTGAGGAGACTCTTCCTCTCCCCTCAGCGTGGCATAAAGGATAAAACAGCTGGCTTAAAGCCTCATTCCAGTCCTGGCCTGAAGATACAACATGCTGATTAATGGCTCCTTGATGCAGGCAAGACAGCAAACCAGTGCTTGAAAAACACATTACATTACCTCTGATAGCTGAGGCATCAGTAATGAGTTGAATAATAGTTATAGTTGCGAAGTAAGATGTTAAATTATTAAATGTGAAATAATGAAAACTTGCACCATTTTCATACTGTATGGCCTTTAAAGTTTCTGTCTTGCTTGATAAGGGTGCAGTTTTAACACAACACAAAAACTGAGTCAATTACTTGACTATTACAAGTCAAACAACAAAAATAGGTTCCATCTCTGTCAGATTAATAGATGCTGGTATTAACTTGAAAGCGTTCCAAGTTCCAAAACAGAAGCAAAGAAGTCCTTGTATTGGGGCTCCTGAGTGGGCACACCAGTAGAGACACTCACTCACCTGTGGCTGTGCACAGTGGGCTTGGATAGCCTTGAGTAGGGGAGAGTCTTTATTATACCCAAGGGACAATTTGTTTTACAGTAGCAGATAATGTAAAGAAAAACACAGAAACAGTACATATAAACATGAGCGAGAGAATGAACC